GAGTCCGCAACATCGGTGTATGCACACTCACGCTCTACTAATACTGGGCCCAAAATTCTTTCCTTCACACTAAGAATAACTGCCGAGATAAACGCGAAAAATTTTCTGAAATTCAAGATAAATGCGAGGTCGCGCCGAGATAAATTCAAGATCGGGCATAGAAAAAGTGAAACTTCCGCCACCGACCTCGCGTTTATCTCGTCACTTGTTCTTAGTGATACCATCAACTCCGCAGTTAGGAAAAACATCATTTTGTAGGTCCGGCTATCATTTGAGATCCAATTTGATTGGCAGCAGTTTTTCAGTTTTGGAAAAATAACAGTGGATAATCCTTATAAATTCTGCAAAAATTGGGACCTTATTCGTCTGGAAAATAACGTGACGACAGAAGTGAGGAACTGGCTGGAGAAAGTGGCCAATGAGGTCAGTTCAAAAACGGAAAATAACGAGGTTTTCAGAAGACGTATATGCCTAACGCCTGGAAAAAGCAAGAATGAATTAGAGACTACCTCTGACTAGGGAGCTACTCGGGCTCGGGTACGCGTATAGTCTGTTCAGGTTTTGAATGCCAAGCAGCTAACTCCACCCCCAAGGCTACAATATCTTTCGCGTCAATGTTTTATCTACAGGTGGAGATGACCCTTCAATAAGGCCGCATTTTTTGCCTTCTTTTTCTATTATTTAGATTAAAAATCGTCCCGCGCGATAAAATATCGACGCGAAAAGATACCGTCTTAGCAGGAGCAGAGTAAGCTGGTTGACATTCCAAAATCTGAACAGACTATATCGGTTAAAACGGCGGCCTGTAAATTGGGTAAGAGCTCTTAGATTTAGTAACTACACTGCTCCCACATAATTATATATCCACCTGAAAGATCAAGAAATGAATATTTTTGAGGAGCTTTTTGAAAATCTTTTTGTTGTCAAAAAGATGGAAAATTTGATCAGATTATTATAGCTATCAACAAAGTTCCTATTGAAAAATAAATATTTTAAAAAAATTTCAATTTCTCAGAAAAATCGAGTTTTTCCGTTCCACATAATTATATATTCACCTAAGACTTCAAACTTCTGGACCTTTTTCCCGGTTTTTGTATCAGTTATCATTTTCTCATCATTTTTGTTTAAAAAATAAGAAGAATACGAGCAAAAAAAGATTTTCTAAAAAGTTGAGGAACCTTGGATATGATCAGAAGACGGTCGCGGTGCTGTTTTGTACTCCAGCTCCACAGTCATCAATGTAAGGGTTGAATTTTTCATAATCAGGGTTAACTCAGAAATTTTTGAAAAAGTTTATCACAAAAAAATATTCTTAAATGGGCGAAAAATCAAATCTCAAAGCTGGAAAAAAACTTCAGAGAAACAAGAGTCAAAAAGGATATTTCGTGATTTCGATTGTGTTGACTTTCTGTTCAATTTTTCTTCGCTGAATAAGGACAATTATGGTTCATTATATGTTTTTAAAACAAAAAAACAACTGTAATCTTTAATCATGAGAAGAAAAAGAAATTTAAAATTTGAAGAAAAAAATTCAGATTCCTATGAATTTGACTTGAAAGTTAGTTATTTACCGATTTCGGTGACTCTTCTTTGCTAGAAGCAGGATTTTTGATGAGACTAACTAATCTTGAAGTTAAAAAAAAAAACAATTTTATCTCAGAAAAATATTACAGAAATGGTCCGAAGACATTTTAAGCTTCCTATTTTCGGCAAAACTGCAAAAAATTCATAAATGTTATCGGAAAACTCCCTCTTTTCAATGCACAGAAATATTTTACTGAAGTTTTTTGAACTTAAATTGTTGCTCACAAGTACAAAGGTACTTATGAAATCGAAATATTCACATCATAATCGATTCAAGAGTAGTTGATGTAATGAAAAGCACCGCGACCGTCTTCTGATCATATCCAAGGTTCCTCAACTTTTTGGAAAATCTTTTTGCTCGTATTCTTCTTATTTTTAAACAAAAATGATGAGAAAATGATTTTTTCGAAAAATTGAAATTTTTTAAAACATTTATTTTTCAATAGGAACTTTGTTGATAGCTATAATAATCTGATCAAAATTCCAATCTTTTGACAACAAAAAGATTTTCAGAAACTCTCAAAATATTCGATTTTTCGAAAAATCTCAGGTGGATATATAATTATGTGGAGCAGTGTAGAAGGGAGTTCTTCAAAAGTTCTCCAGCAAAAAGCTGAAAAAAACTCGGATTTTTTTCGTCTTTATATAGAGCGGTATTTGCGCTCTGAGGTCTGAAAAACCAGGAAAAAAATTTTTCTGTCAGTTTTTGACACCGTAGTCATGTTGACATGGACCAGTGCAACTTTTAAAACAAAAAAAGGAAACCAAAAAAATTTTTTTCTTCGAAAATTTTTCAAACTCCATGCTCATACACATGGAAAATCACGAAAAATTTTATGAATAATATTTTTGACAAAAAGAAGTCCAGGTGTTCATAAAGGGTCAAAACGAAGTTTTCTCATGTTTCTACGCTTCAAAACTCAAGAAAGGAGCACTTACACGAAAGTTTCAAATACGGAAAAAATTTTGCGGAGGATAGGGACCGAACCTTTGACCTCGTGCTCCCCAGTCGGCCGCCTTTCCACTGCTCCTCGCTGCCGTTTCTTTGACGGTCGCCGACTAGCAATACCACACTGCACGCGCATTCCATTATCATGAGCGAAGATTTTGAAATATCATATCAAGGCTCCCAATTTTTTTTTGAGAAAAATCATTTGATTTTTCGTGACCGGGGGAACAAAGACTATATACCCTCCAAATAAGAGCTCAATCGGAGACATCGAAAATTTCGACTTTTGAGAGTCCATAACTTTTTTCACAGACGTATTGGGCAACTTTTGAAACCAGATTTGGAATCAGCGTAAAAAACTACATCTAGTTAACTTGGCCGCATTCAGGAGTCCCATAGCGTGCCCGGAGACCATTCCCTGGTCAGAAAGTCAACTTTGAGGAGTTTTTCTATTTTCACATGTCATTTCTGGTCGGACGCTTTTTACTAACGACCTCTCGAAATCCGTCAAACTCTGTTTGTTAAACTTGCTTTCCTAGACCAAAAGAGCACGAGAAACAATTTTCGGGATTCTTTCGACTCTATGCTATTCAGACGCTCGCCGTGTGTAATACTGTTACGAGCGCCAGCGCCAGCGGCAGTACCGTCAAACACCAGAACGACGTCGACGATCAGCGGCCTTTCTCGACATCGGACGACACCGCGGGTGTCCGCCACAGTGATGCTCAGAGCGTGGCTTCAGCCGCCGCCGCTGCCTCAGCCTCAGCCAAGGAAAAGGAATGTCCTAGCAAAAAGTAATTTAGATGGTTTTGTGTTTTCAACGGGGAACCGAAATCCAGACGGGCCGCTGATCAGACGGTAATAGTCATTGAATGGTGCTTCTGGTCCTTCTGGGCATTTTGGTGTACATGTACATCAGGCTCTACTTCTTCAGGAAGAACGAGGACGCCGCTTTTTGCCGCATATGGTAACTATTTCATGTAGTTTAATTAAGCTAGCGTTTGACTGTCAAGTTTTTACAATACGGTTGGTGATTATTTCAACACTACTAGCTGGAATATCCCTTGTTGTAGTATCAAAAAGATTCACTGAAAGTCTATTCGCAAACTTTCTCAATTTTCGTGAAATGAGGGCTCAAACTTTGACAATGACCTTTTTCAACGATTTCTTTGGTGAACTTTCTATCTAGACAACTAACAGGATTTTTATATTCTTAATATCAATAAGTATTCTGGTCGATTTTCAGAAAATTTTCAAGCAGGTAGTATGACCTTCTTTGTCAATGAGTATACACTGCGCGTCATAGTTACGTCATAGTTACGCACCCCCATTTTGAAGTTTTCAAAAGATGCGTTGAACTTCTTCAATCAAACCTTTTTATGATAAACCTTGGCTAAAATAACTAACATCGGAAGAGAACTACAGAAAGCTCAGTACGATTTCAAAATTCGTCAGAAATAGTTTTTGACCGCGGGTCATAATTATAAACGCACCCTGGATCAGCGTTCATCGCTGTGTTAGAACTTTTGCGCTTTCTCATTGATTTAAAAGCAAAAATCAAAGTGAGTAGGAGGCCACATCATTTTAAGTAACTATGATTCGAGGCAATTTTGTTTTCAAACCATGCGAAAAGCGATCGAAAAGTTTCAGAAAAATCTACCTCTTCTGAAACTATCAAGAGATTTATATTTGAGTTTGCGTATGAACATTTTGAATGACGTTGTTTTGAACAATATCTGAAAATTTCGAGACGAGAAATTGCTTCTACGGTACGAAAAATGTCTTTGAATCAGGTGTATTCACAGTTCAAAGGACGTCTGGCGTTTTTAAACCGGCCTCTTCCCCAATAAAATTTTTGACATGATGTTTCTTATATGAAAATAAAAATTGCCTGAATCATATGTACTTAAAAATGCTGTGGCATCCTACTCACTTGATTGTTGATTTAAAATCAAAAAGAAAGGCAAAACGTTCTAACACAAGCAAAAAATGAACGCTGACCCAGGGTGCGTCTATAATTATGACCCGGTCAATAAACAATTTTTGACGAGTTTTAAACTTTTTTGGTACTGAGTCTTCTGTAGTTCTCTTTCCAATGTTAGTTATTTCAGCTAAGGTTAATCATAAAATAGGTTTGATTGATGAAGTTCAACGTATCTTTTGAAAACTGCAAAAATAGGGTGTGTCCATAACTATGACGCGCAGTGCTCTATACTGCGGTAAATTTTTCACAGAATCCGGTAAAAATAGCTAGGAAAACTGATTGTTTTTCAATTTTTTCAATTTTGAAATTCTCTAGAAGAATGTGAATCTCTACAGCGGTTTCAAAAATCTGCCAGACAGCTTTCTTGGAAATTTTTCTACCGGAGTCAATATAGACTGGACAAGGAAATTTTAACAATTAAAAAGAAATTCGAAAAATGTTTTTAGCGTTTTTGCACACTGTGATTTTGAAAACTCATAAACGGAGTAATTGTTCAAATATTCATAAATATCGAGACGCTCTCATAAGACGTTGAATTTTGAAAAATAATAGCATTTTCATAGTAAGAAAATTTTACGCCAAAATAAATTGACCGCATCATACTAAAGGCACTATTAACTATTGAATTTCGTATCTCGAGCAAATTTCGTCCCTTTTTCGAATATGCAATCTACTGCTGACAGGGGAGATCATTATATAGCCCGTTCACGGCTGGCTTGGGACAGCGAACGGGCGATTTAACTTGCGCGGAGACGGTAGATCATGGCGGGCCACCGCATGCGCCTTCAAAAATATCCTCATTTGATGAATTATTTTTAATCTCAATTGAATTTACTTTTTCGTTTACATTAGTTTCATGAGTTTTTCAGGTTTTTCTTTCAATCAACGAAATAAAATAAAAAGGGAAAAAGTCATAAAATGAGCCTTTTGTGGAAGGCGCATTGATAGTACCTTCGCCACGAAAATTAAACCGCCCGTTCGCTGTCCCAAGCCAGAGCCATAGTGTAAAATGTTTAATTCTTCAAAAACTTGCGGGAATTTCTCTGGAAGGTCGCAAAGACAGTTTCTACCTGCCCAAACCTTGAGTTTACGAGATAAGAATTGCAAAATATTGAATGCAGGCCCTAATAATGTGTCGTAAAAATGCTGAAAGTTCATATCTCCAGAGAAAAATTGCGCAGGTCTGAAGGATTTTCATCTAGTCTTCCTGAGAGCAAAACTTGAAACTTTCTTTCAAACCGCGACGAAATTCGCACATTATTTGTGAGCGAGATACGCTGGTCCATAGTATTTCTTTCAGTATCATATATCGCGCAACTTATAAATTCGATGATCTTCTTCCAATCCGGCAGAGACAGTGCAATGCGTTAGTTTCCCTATTCGCATCGCTACTTTTATCAGAGTTTTTGTAGTTCATGGCGTTATGATGGATGGTCTCCAGAAGAAGAAAAGTTCCACTGCGTAAGTCTGGTTTAACGTTGAATAAGTTCCATATTCCAACATATCATAATTTTAGTTTGCAGTTTGAATTTTTGGAAAAGAAAAGATTATCACTTTATGTACCATACTATAACAGTCTCCACTTTGGTATTTTTGCGTCTTTCTTCTAAAAACTGAATAAGGGCCCCACCACCCTTTACAACGAGAAAAAAAAATTTCTCCAAATTTTTGTGATCGGCTTGATAAACGGCAAAGTGTTATATGGTGTGTGATAAGATCATTTCTTAGCCTGTCCAAAAAGTCTTCAAGTTCAAGTTCAACCGTCAGCCGAATGGTCTCAAAAATTACTTTTTTACTTGAAGCGCCGGTGTACGGTGTTTGAATTTGGTTGCGGTTTTTTTTTGACGTTAGTTCCAATTTTGCAGCATGTCCTTTATAGTCGTCAATTTCAACCGTTCAATCTTTTTTCAACCGATGACCTGGTGTTAGACAGTTGAGAAAATTTTCGGTCGAAATTCAAACGTTCCGGAATAAAAAAGTTCAAACGGGTCAAAGTTGGAATTTGACGGCTATAAAGTCCTTATAAATTATTTAGTTCGAAGGCGGCAAAATAAATTAAAGAGTTGGGCACAATTAACAAAGAACGTGACCAAGTTTTGGAACAGAGTTCATGGATTCACGCCAAAAAAGGGCCAATAACATGATCACTGTCATATCATCATCTTTTCTAGAGATGCTTTCGACAAAGTTCCACGATCGGGCCATCGGACGCAAGAAGAAATTCGAAGAAAAGCAGCCTCTAGACCCGATAGCGGACTTCTTTTCGGAGCTTCCATATCGCTGCAGTGAAGAACTTGAGTCTAGTGGTAAACGGGAACTGACGGAGGAGTTTATCGAAGCGGGTCAGAAATTCGAGGCCGTCAAAAAAGCGCACCAAGCTGGAAAGGAGTTTGAACCGCCGCAGGGAACTCGTATCTGGTCGGATCTTCGACTGCAAGATCGTGATAAAATGGAGATAGCCAAACTGCCCGAACAGCAAATGGTCGAGAGGAAGCAACTACGTTATGTGCAAAAATGTCCACCGGCGGCTTTCTTGAAAAGACGGCAAAAAGCTGGACTTGATCCGCCTTCCAAAGCTACCACCAGCGTCGTCAAAACGGAAGAGTCCAAAATGAAAGAGAAGAGAAAGGAGGATCCAAAGGCAGAAGAAAGGAAGAAGGAAGGCCCAAAAGCAGAAGAGAAGAAAAAGGAGGATACAAAGGCAGAAGCGCCGAAAAAGGACGAACAAAAGGCAGAAGAGAGGAAAAAGAAGGAAAAAAAGACAGAAGGGCCGAAAAAGGACGACGCAAAGAAAGAAGAAGCAGCCAAACAAGGAGATGCGCCTATTAAGTGCGTGAAACCTGAAGATATTGTGAAGAGGGTTCTGAAAGAAGATCAGCCCAAAATGGTGTTCATTATGCCGCACGAGAACATCCAGCTCGAGAACTGTCATCCGCTGTCTCTTTCGAGCCCAGTTCAAGCGAAGTACGACACGTTCAAGACCAAATCGAAAGTTTTGAGTAGGTTTTTCCTTTCTTCGACAGTAGTAATTCACTCACAGTTCAGGAATTTTTATAAGATACGTATTAAGTAAGGAAGCGCTTTGGAAGGATAATGTATGAAATTTTTGCCTTCAATTGGAAGTGAGGGCAGATTATTCAAAAATTGAGAGATCAAGAGGGCGATGGACGGAAAAAAATATTTTTTTCGCATTCCGTGTTTTTTTCGATGTGGCTTTTAAAAAAAACATACTTTGGTTCAATTTTTTTCACTGTCTTATCATTGAAGACGACAAAATTTTTTGCTTATAGTCTGTGTACCAGAATTTCACCAAACGACATTCCGCTATGCCGCTGCGCGCCTTTGCGAACCTTGGTCGCGCTTTTAATTTTTTTTTTTTTCTTTTTTTGAGGTACTCTACTTTCATGTGCTCCCATAGCAACAACAATAAATTGAAAGTGTGACCTAGTTTCGAAAGACGCTTCGCGAAAGCACGCAGCGGAACTGCGGAATGTCGTTCGGTGAAATTTCAAGTCGTGGTACACAGGCTATACGTGTTCTGAAAATATGGTCGATGCTTTTTGCGTTTTTTTGCTCGTTGAAGGGGAGAAAAGTTTTTTTCGAAGAAATCCGAATAAGTGTCAAAAGATAGATTCAACCTGATGAGCATCTTACGCGATGTTCCATGACTGAAAAACTTTGAACGAAAAAGAAGGCGATTTGGCACGAAAACAGTTGATAATCTTTTGTTGAAGCCAAATGTTCGCTTTTTTTAAGCAGGTTATCAGGCGCTCACCTCAGCTCAAACTACTATAATAAATATTTGATAAAAATTCATGGGACTCCATTGGAATGATCTTTTTTTCTGAAAAACTATCTTACGCTGTATCGAAATTTGCGCCTGTGAGAAAGAAACCCTGTGATACCTCAAATGTGAAGAAGAAATTTTTTTCAGAAGATACGTTCGCAGTTTTTTTCGTTGGTACTGCAAGAGCTGCAGAAATACTATCATGGACACGCAAAAGGTATAAAGATGCTGTGAGAGAGAGAAAACGTTATTTTTTTGTTTTGATTTCAGCTTGGGAGCTTATTAACGCAAACGCCAACCAAGTAGAGATCCAAATGGTAGAAAGAGTGAGAAACTTCGCTTATTTTTGATATAATGAATCCAACTTGGCCCGGTACTTGTGCTGTTGTAAATCGAAAGGATAAAAAAATACCGCAAAGCAAACGTCCCCTCTACGAAACTCCATGTGAGTTTTTTTACGAAGAAGTTTCAAAGTCAACTTTCTACCCGCTTGAAATGTTGTGGAAAAAGTTTGAAGAACAGTTTTGGTTTCTTGATGCTAATACCTGAAACAGACACATACTGTTTCTTCGTTTCCCGCAGCTAGATAACGACAAAATAGTGTGTGTGAAAGAAAGAGTTGTAATGACCTTTATGCGTCCCATGTCAGAGAGAATGTCATTCTTCTGACCGTTCGTTCAACCGACTAGTTTCTGAAATTTTCAAAAATGACCGACCATTTTTGAAATGACATTCCGAACATGCAAAAAACAACATGTCATTCAGAAGTGACATGTAGAAATGTTGGAACTTCAACCGTTCGACCAATGACCATTTATTATGACATGTTGAAAAAATATTGATCGAACGGTCAATTTTCTAAACTATAATCCACCTTAATGAAACCTTTGCAGTCAAAAATCTGACTCTTTCAATTAAAATACCAAACTCTGAGTTAAAACTTCAAATCAAAATTTATTGAATTGGGGATTAAAATCGGGAAAAGTATTTCGGATCACAGTGGACGGAGGGGAATGTTGGAAAACAGCTCTCTGTTGCTGAACAAGTCGAGAAACTCTTTGAAAGAGGTGGTAAACGTGTTGGGTTGAATCTCGGCATTGAAGGTCAGACAAGTCGTTTTCAGTAGCCTACGACCATCTCAAAAGGTTGCGCGTTGCCGCCAACCCAAACGAGAAGCGGCTTCTGGAGCTGTTGGAGGCCGGACACGCAGAGATGGCGAACCAAATGCACGCTGAAGGTCTCAACTACTACTACTGGCACAAAAGTTCGTCTTCCCTCTTTCTTCGCAGCTTTCGACACTTGAAAAAATAAAAAATAAAATTCGTATTCAAAGACTTGAATAAAGAGCAGCAACAAACTTCATAATTTTTCAGAATTCATAAATGTTCCACCCACGGTTCTGCCAGGAGAGTCCCTCGGCGACGCTGCTAGGAGAATTTATAGTAAGTTTATTCATTTCGGTTTGTGATTCTTGTCTCTGTCATTTTAGTGCGCAAACTAAAGGAGTTTCAAGTTTGATCGAATAAGATATTTTTTTCAGGGTTTGAAGATCGTTACAAGGAAATCGAAGATCAACTGGCCTACGTTCGTAACTTGGCACATCCAAATGAAAAAGCCCCGGAAACTGATGAAAGAACTTGCCCCGACCACTGCGAAAAACGTCAGAAAAAGAAGAACACGAAGGACAAGAAGTCGGAGGAAAAAGAATTCGAAAGAGAACAAAACCGAAGAAGGCCTGAAAGATGGCAAAAATTTCGTTTCAATGTTTATTCAACCATTTTTTTCAAATAAATATATTTGTTACACCCTTCCAAACTTTGAATTTTTTTGTTTGTGAGCATATATAGAATTGCTTGAAAATTCGTCAAAAGGAATTATTTTTGAAAAATGAAGAAATCTCAATATTCCATCAAGGGGCCCCGTTGGATCTTTTTTTAGTTGTTAAAATATCTAACCTTCGAGTCAAACATGTGGAACTCCTTAAAAAAATCGCTATGATTAAAAAAAGTAAAGCTTCGTATCGATTTGCGCGGCACTATTTGTATTGTTTCAATCTCGAAATTTCTCAAAAATCTCGAAAATTCGAGTCTCGTGCATCCGGATTCAGTACTTGTGCGGTGATCTAGGGAAGAGGAATCGCGGTCGTGTTAACCCCATCCCAGAACAGAACAGTCTGTCCCCCTCGAAGCCTTTTTTGAGAGCGTTTTCGGTTTGGAAGCATTTTTTCGCGAGAAAGTATTTTCGACGTTTTGAGGGCTGTTGATGAGCGAATTGGGAGTTGAAAAAAAAAAAGGAAAAACGAGAGAATCTCATTTTTCTTGTTTTTTTTAATGCAATTTCCACAAAGCGCAATACAGGACAAGCGTGACTTTTTTTGTTTCGATGTTTTTTTGAAATTTTTTTATACACTAAATCGTGGAACTTTTTTTGATTAGTAAACAACGTCGTATAAATTTTGTAGGGTAAAATATTTGGGATAGTTATGATAAGCTATAACAGCTGTAGATAGCCAAGAACCTGTTCAATCGTCGGTATTTGATAGGTTGAACTCGAAGAACTATCCAAAGCGGCGCCTTGGACTATCCAGTGATACTGCGCTCAAAAACTTTTGTAGACGTCTTTCTTATAATCGCGATCCAAAACATCGTAGTCTATTCAAAAATTCAAAAATCTCTAAAGACTTTTGATTCAAATTCCTAGTGAACCTTTTTAGAGCCGACAGTTTCCCCTGGACTAAGTGAAGGAACGAAATTGAAAGACTATAAGGACCTTCTCAAGGTAATCTGTATTAAAAAAATATATATTATCAACTTCAGTGTCAGAGATGTTCAAGAGAGGAGAAATATAGTGTCTACGAGTTTGCAAGCGAATATCCGGATCAAAGATGAAATTTATCGAAGACGAGAAGAATTCGGACCCATCGGACAGAGGGGAAACCGAGATCGGACCAAAAAGCGACTTTTTTTCATCAGTATGTGCCCGTTTTTTTCTGAGTAGCAAGCTGTAAGAGGCGTTCTATATCTTTCGCTGAGGACTTTTTGTAGATCTTATTGGAGGAGAACAAGAAGGTTCATAGTATTGAAGGACTTGAAAGGGAGAACCAAAGTCACTATCAATGTTTTCGAGCACTCTTTTCCCATGTTTTGATGTTCCGAGAAACAAAGTTGTATTTTTGCCGTTTATTCAAAAAAAAAAGAGTCAGTTATAAAAAGAAAAAATAAAGCCAGTTGGGATCAGTAGGGTGGGACGGAGTTAGTCGTTCGCGGCCGTTTCTTCCTGCGTGGGACAGATATCTTCCATGATCTCCTGAAAAAAGTTCTCTCAAAATAGTGCAGGTGAAGGCGTAACTGACTGCGCGGCTGACGGGCTTTCGACGGCGCAATTTCGTCGAGACATCCTTCTTATTGAGCTCCCCCTCTTCATTTCCCTGTAGTGACAGGAGTTTATTGCTCGACAAAAAAAAAAATTCAGATTCGAAAAAGTTTTGTCATGGAACTAAACTCTTTGCTTTTTTCCAGAGTTACTTTATTTCATCACCTTTCGGCATTAAATTTTAACAATTCTTTAATCTAATGAATGTGAAAAATAAGTAGAGACGAATTATCAAATTATAATTCAAAGGATAGATTGGATTTAAAATATATCCCGCAGCCGTTTCGAGTCTTAAAAGTAGACGGCGTAGGAGGTGACACTCATTAGCACTTTCCTCATGGCATTAGTTCAAAAAAGAAAGAAAAGGATAATTTGCGACTAACTTAGGCGCGTAAATCATTTAGAAGAAATATGTGGAAATGATGAGAAATGAAATGAGAAACAAAGCAAAATGAAACCATATTAGGTCTTGGATTGAGGTGGAAAGAGAAGATATGCAGAAATGCAGAGTTAGATAAAGTTAGAGCGAATGCAATGGTAGATAGAAGTTAGGTATAGCCTATTCCGCGCCAGCTTGTCACGTTTTTCTTTCCGCCAAAAAGACCTTATACCAAATTTGATCAAATTTGACCAACTTCGCTTCACGAATTTAGATTTTTGTTCTTTTTATCGAAGTTTTTGAGAGTTCCGAGCGAGGCGGTCACGTTTTTGAAGAAAAGCAGAAAAAAAAATACCCAAAAAAAAAACAGCTTTCTTCTTAGTAATTCTGCTTTCGAAACAGCAAGAAACAAAGGTCTTGAAGCGAAGTTGGTCAAATTTGATCTGGCCTTTTGGCGGAAAGAAAATCGTGACAAGCTGTCGCGGAATGGCCTATAGTTAAAGTACGTATTAAATACCGTTGCGGAATTTTTAATTGAGAACTTTGAATATTGTTTTTTTTTCCTGCGAATAGAATTTAGTTTTAGGAATTATTTTAGTTTGACATATTTTAAGAAGAGTTTAAACTTTATATCTATTGTTTTTAAATGTGGAAATGCAGTCTACTGTTTGGTCAATAAAGTCAATAAGTCTTGTACCATGTCACTTATCGATTCAAATCAAAAAATTATAGTTCTCCGAAAAGTTTCTCACTAAAGTTATCACAAAAGATTCGAAATAAGTTTGTACACTTTCATTTTTCGAGGTCGTATAAACTCACATGGCTCGCTTCCGTATCTGCCGTGACCGTCTTCGGTTCTCCTTCGGCCTGAAGAAATATTTAAATCAGAAACTAGTGTAGACAAATGAACTGACTTTCCTGTGGTCCTTGTAGAGGCCTTTGATGAAGTCAACCGTCTGAAACTTTTCTTGAAATTCAACAAAATTAACTTTAAAACCGTATTCATGTCCGTCCTATCTCTCATCATGTATGTCCACAAATTATTTTCGACGAATGAACGGAGAGCCGGCGGAGCGCGAGTCTCTTCGAGATTGTTCAGCTCTCCGGTCAAAATCTAAACTCAGAACCTTGTCTGACAAAAAACGAGTGATTTTAGTATGTTTAGAATTTTCTACACGTTTGCGCTATCATGAAGTCTAATTCTTGATGTTGTGTGAAACTTTCATTTAGGTCTTCATTATGTCTGGACCATTTCATAGAAATTCAAATGTCACCCTAAAGTGTAGATGAAGTAAAAAGTTTTTCTTCTAGTTGAAAGAAAAAAAGACTATGTTGCGAGTCCAAAAATCGGAGACTGCGGAGAATATGAGAGAAAGCTTTTAAAAAAATTGAAAGTTTTCTTTCGTGATTCCGCCTCCTCTCATCACTTTTAACTGGAAATTAATCGAAAAGAATGGAACAGACCTTGTCTCTGGCATCCGCTGATTTATATTCTTCGTACGGCATCATTCCACCTGAGAAGATTTCGTAAATCAAGTTCTAAAATAATCTATTTGTCTCCCATTATAACCAAGTGAACTCACCCCATAGGCAAAACAGTCGGACACTTGGCCAAATACGAAAATAGACAAGGTCTCCGGCGACAAGTATCTCGTCGGTAATTTCTCCGCGTTTTTCATATAAAAATAACTGCCAGAAGTCGCGAGACCAAAGTCAGCGACCTTCAACTAGAAAATATTTCTTTCCAGTATCTGTTGATAATCCCGATCAAACCGTGAGGTCGGCAGTTAGCAAGCAATTTCGGGCGGCTACGTCCCTGTGAAGGACGTCCATTTCGTGTAGGTAAGCTATGCCTTTCGCAGCTTCAAGGGCGAACTTCAGAAGGCGGGTGTCGTTGGAACCGTCGAAGTTGTTGATCAAAAAAAGCTGTCTAGAGACCCGCCTGAAATTAACGCTTCTTTAGGATCAGCTTTTTTCAATATAAGTTTATAGCGTTCATACAAAAATTGCGACTTCATTCTACTTCAGCCCCCCCAACAACAGATGGAATCTATAATTTAAAAAAAGTAGAGTTTTTCTTTTTCTCAATTTTTTTGCGATCTAATTTGAATAACAGCTTTTTTTTGAATGTGTTTGCAATAGCGAAAACGCTCACCGTCCATCATCTCCATTAGAATCATGAATGGCTTTTTGTCGATAGCCCACCCGTAAATTTCGATTACGTGGTCATGATGGAGCGACAACATGATGCGTGCTTCTTCGAGCATTTTTTCACTTAACTGAGAGGAGTTTGGTGCGTCCTTCAACAACTGCAAGAAGAGAAGTTTTTTTTCTAAGAACACTCCTTGAATTGTATTCACCGCTTTCACTGCGACTTTCAGTTCGGCTATTCCTATTGCATTTATTTTTCCGAGGAAGACTTCTCCAAAGGCGCCTGATCCGAGCTGAAAAGAGAGATTTCATTATGGCAGATAGTTTTTTCGAAGACTACAGCAAAAACGGACTTTTTAGTTCGAGATACTTTTCTCAGCCAATTTCGAAATTAGAATTGACTGTTCCCTCTCTTTTCAGTCACTTAAGTGATTTATTTAATTTTTCTTGATGAAAAACATGGGCTCAGTTCATAATGTAGTGAGGGTTTATATCAGGTTGTTTAATCAGTTATTCGATGTGTTGTTGATCTGAATTTTATGGCGTGTTCTTCGGAGAAAGTGGGAGTTTCTCCAAAACGAAAAATGTCTTGGAGCAACTTTGGTGTGCCGAGAGACATGCTTTCGCATTCTGAAACATGTTCCGTTTTTCCGATAAACACGTAGTTATCCAGATCATTGAAAAAGTCAACAATTTAAAGATTGAGAAACTCTCATCATTATTGTTGCTGAAACTGTTCACGGATCATTCATTTTCGTTTCTTATGAGACTTTTACGCTTTTTATAACTCACCGTCTTCTTTTTTTCGATTTGGTTGCTTCTAAACTCGAAGTAGCGCTTCAGACACGGGCGTCGTAAATTTATTTTTTTAGTGACTCCTAAAAAAACGACATAAATAATTAGAACTTTTCAATTTCAATATGAGTTAATTAAACTACTCGTTTTTCATTTCTCGAAACTTTCCGAAATCTTACTCATTTTCTCTATCAATAGCTTTTACCTTGTTTGGGTGCAGTAAGTAGTAGCTTATCAGTTTTTCCAAATTGTCGAACGCTATTTGGCCGTCGATGGACACGCCAACCTTGCTGCGGCTAACTATGTAATCCTGGATCCTCACGGGTTCACGGCTCTCATAGGTATCGTCGAGGTCTGAATTCGGAAGTGAAAGGCTTGCGAGATAAGATTGGAACTGTCAAAAAGCTAAATGAAAAACAGAAAACCTCATTGAAGAACTTTTGGTATACAAAGTTTAAAAACTAAGAAGCGAAAAAAATCTTTTCAACCGCTATGAATTTGACTTGGAAAATTTTACAACTATGGAAAGATTTTAAAAAAAAATTACCATCACGCTCATCTCTCGTATATTTCAATAGCACGCCGACTGACAAAACTGTGAAATCATTTCCTTCGTCTGAATAACCTTATTAAGTAGTCTAAACTTCCATTTTGCTTCACCTTCCCACTTTCTGACCAAAAAATCGCCTGCCCTTCGAATGAAAGCTCTGGTTTCCGTTTGCGGTAAGTAGCTGAACACAGTCGATTTCGATGTGGTACAATCAAAATGTTTTACCCATGAAAAAAATAGAGATTTTCTAAGAAAGTCTCGTCGTCTATCTGGAAATTTCTCTCTTCTCTCAACGGAACGATTATGTGGTGCAAATCGTCAGCTGTAAATCGAATAGAGAATCCCAAAAGAAAAATTGAGAAATCTATTAAAACAATGTTTTTTTAGTTCTTCTATTTTCTGAAAATTTGGTGTCTTTATCTGTAGAGGAGGAGCGGATAAAAAGTTCTTATGCGAAACTTTGAAAAACATTTACTCTGGTTTTTGGACAAAATATAATAAAGCGACTTCAAATTTTATCACACTGTTTGCTCATTTCCTACAAGCTCACATGTTTTTTGAAAATATTCCAAATAACTACTGATTTTCAAGCTTTATTAAATTATGACTGGAACTGGACCTTATTCTCAAAATAAATCGATGAATGAGGATTTACCGAAGAAATTCTCTCTTCATTAAGATCTGCAGTTTTTTAATATAGTTTGAACAATTTCAAACGTGTTTTAACTGCGAACCAGGGTTGTGCGAGATGGGACTTTTTGAGTTCGAGACGAGATCGAGACGAGCAAATTTTCTCAAAAAATTTCGGGACGAGAGCAGAGACGAGATAGCGTGTTGTCTCGATCTTTCGAGACGAGACATTTTCTAAGACCCGTCTCGAAAAAAATTGAGACGAGATCGAGCGAGAAACTTTTTCAGAAATTTTCAGACAACAGTTCTAAAAAGTCCGTTTTGCGCCTGGTTTCCTTCAAAAAGTAGAATCATTATCATATTAACGGCAGAATATATTTCATGAACACAATTTTAAAAATGTTCTCTCAGAAAGTAACCAAACAAAAAGTTACACAGGCCTAATTACATTTCAAAATTTGGAGTTGACCAGTTAAAGTCACCATAAAAAGCTCGTATCTTGGTAAAATCGTTGTAGGATCCATTGTTTCTAGGGGCTTCGGAATACCATTTTGCCTATTTCGTAGCATAATTTTAAACGAACAACGATACAATTTTGAAGCGTCAAATAACTCAGGCACTGACGGCGTGTTTGTTGCCAAAAGTGAGCACGCGCAGGAAGTGTCCCTTCTATTTTTAAGTTTTTAACTAATTAAAAGTTATTAATTGGCTATTTCTCGGTGGTATGAAAAAACCACCAGCGAAAGTTCGAACGGCGACTTTTCCGATTTTTTCATATCGCTAGGGAACTTTCCGACGGCCACCTTTTCAGACGGATTCCTTTTCCGACTTTTTCTCCCTTAAGTTTTTCGGTTTATAAAACATCTATAAACATTGTTTTTTCTACTTCTTTGTGTTTTAATCATTAACCAACTGCCTAAAATTATACAGGGAGATTTAAAGACGAAAAGTTTATCGAGAAAAAGTCGGAAAAAGATTCGTCGGAAGGTGGCCGTCGGAAAGTTCCCAACGATATTAAAAATCGGAAAAGTCGCCATTCTTCGCTGGTGTTTCATACCACCTATTCTCGTGTCTGTTCTTTAACCTTTTTCTCATTGCACTGCCTCTAACATGCGAGTGCACCGCGTCTGAACTTTACTGTACACCCCGCGAGTGTAACCAGGGGTGCGCAGGATTCAACGCGAAATTCTGCAATCTGCACTGAGTTCAGCGAGGGGGTTTCACCCCGATGGCCGTTTCGACGCGGGGTGCACCGCAACTGCTAGAGTGCAGTTTGAAATGCAGACGTGCTTAAATTTACGCAATACCAAACTTTCGCTTAGAAAATCATAATGTTGTTTTGAAGTGCTCCAAAAAGCTTTTAAAAAGTAAGTCAAAAAAACCCTAAAAACCGTGTTCTACAACATATTTGATTTCGAGAAAAATTTCCCCCTAACGCTCATCGAACTCAGCCTAAAGCCCAAATGGCGCAGAACAAGTCTGCGCCTAATGAAGAAATATAAATCAATGAATTATTTGTTGATTTTTCTAAAAAATCTGCCTCTAGGTTGGAATTCATAACTCGAATTAGTTTCATCGGTGATGAAGAGAGAGAATGAAATGTAAAAATAACGCTTACTGTCTCTCATGGCGACCATCTTCTTTCTCTCTTCGGCTGTCATAAGTTGTCCCTCCCTAATTCCGCCGCTCCCTTTTCCTTCCGTTGATTTTATTTCCGATAGCACCTTGTCTTCTGTTTTGGGCAACACTCCGCTATGTGCGGCCTCGCTTCCCTCAATCTCGTACCCAGGTGGTGCTAAAAAAACTCGAGTGATACAGAATTGACTCAAAAAGCAATTAGGTCCCTAACTATAAATAGTCTGATGGGATAAGTAATTCATTTCAAGTTAGATGACTCTGAGTTTAATCGAAAAAGGAAGTCTTTTATTTTTGAAATGCTATTTGGACATCATATTCGATTTGACTGTAAAATTCATTGATTTTAAATATCCACGTTTTTAAATCAAAATTCAAATCGGAACAGGTCGATTTTCTACACAAAAATTACTTCTCAGTGTTTTAATTATACTTTTCGTTTCTCTTATCTTTCTCAAGTTTTGTTCAGTGCTACTAGCTCAACTTGTCTTACTGGTATACGATTTTCAATTGATTAAACATAATGTGCCCTCTTGCTTTCAATTTTTGATGTTGCCAGGTGGCTGGGTTGGGACTCGTCGGTTCACACATGAGGGTTGTTGGAAGGGTTTCGATCACTTGCCTTTAAGCCCGGAAACATTCCATCACTCACCTTATGGATGATGTTCTCTAAAAATTCTTCTCATAAAAATACTGATAAACTGTAGAGTTGAAGGAGGAGTTTCGAAGAGAGGCTCCGAATATAAATTTTCCTATAGTAATTATTACTCTTTTCGTCTCGAAACGTGTGAATCGATTCTTTGTAAGTTTATCACTTTTCTGGATTGCTTTTCGACTATAAATAGTCTGATGGGATAAAGTAATTCATTTTAACGTAGATGATTTCAATCAGATCTGAGTTTAGTCGAAAGGAAGTACTTATGAACTGCTATTTGGACATCATCTTCGAGTTTTACTGTATATCTACGTTTAAAGCCAAAGAATTCAAATAGGAACGGTCCATTTCTACCCAAAATGCTTACTCTTCTCTCTCAGTAGCTTCCTAGTCACAAACTTTTCGTTTCTCTGTCTTTCTATCTCAGATCTGCTGATCAGTATTTAATTATTCGAAATACTGCTGGAGCGCGCTCGTACGGTTCGTGCGCATCAAAAGCAGCTATAATCTGTTCAGGTTTTTGAATGTCAAGCAGCTAACTCCACCCCCTGGCTACAATATCTTCGCGTCATTGTTTTATCTACAGATGCGATGGCCGCTTTAATAAGGCTGCATTTTGACTGCTATCTTTTTAGATCAGATCAAAATTAGTCCTATATGATAAAACATCGACGCAAAGGTACCGTCTCCAGCGGGGCAGGAGTTAGCTAGTTGACATTCGAAATCTGAACAGACTATATCAGATTGAAAACTGACATGGGAGGTCATTTTAGCGTAGGGTTCAGTATTTTTATAAATTTGCTCAAACAATCTTTGATGGATTGGGAATCGATCCCCCATAGTCGCTACCTGCACAAACTTTTTGTTTTGGAGATATGATTTTTCAAAGATTTTATCCTTAACCATATGGCCATGTGACGCCGTTTGGAAGCAATGGGGCCGCGCCACCAACTGCATGGCAGCTGGGGCGTGCTGCAGTAGCGAAGCGTGTCAACCTGCGGAGCCTATGATGAAAGGTTCAAATCCTTTGCCCGCTGGCACCCATTATTTTTTTTTTAAAGGTTCTAGTGAAAGTATAAAATTTCATAGGTAAAACCTCTCCAAATAAGTTCATTAGCGCTATTTTCTTTCTGAAATCGCTTTTTTATGGACAATAGTTATGAAAACTTACCTGTCATCCGAGTTTTATTGAAAAATTTCCAAACCCTCTAATTTTTGATCTTTTTTTGATCTAAAAAGATAGAAAAAAAGAAGTCAAAAAAATGCAGCCTTATTAAAGGGCCATCGTGATCTGTAGATCAAAACATTGACGCGAAAGATATTGTAGCCATGGGGGGTGGATCTGTTCCGATTTCAAATGTCAAGCAGCTAACTCCGCCCCTTCTGAGACGGTACCTTTTTGCGTCGATTTTTCATCGCGCGGGACGATTTCTGATCCTCTTTGTTCTACAAGATAGAAAAATAAGTCAAAAAACGCAGCCATATTGAAGGAGCATCGTCACGCGCAATAAAACATTGACGCGGAATATATTGTGGCCTTGGGGGTGGAGTTAGCTGCTTGACATTCAAAATCTGATCATACTATACCTCCTTAAGAGCGCCTTTTGGGGCGCGCCTAAAGGCGGTTTCCAACTATTATTGAGAGCGCCATGAAGCGTCCCAATAAAGAGCGCAAAACGTTCAAAAATTTCGCTGCATGTTTTCGACGCTGATTCAGTTCAACTATCGCTACTACGCCATCAGAAGAAAAATATTTTAGAATAGGAAAAAAATTAGAAAACGAATCATGAGAATTCACAGTAAAAATAACCGACCGCGTCGAAACCCACGCCTACTCGCGGTGTGCTCCTTTAATATTTTTTTCCTTTCAACATTCACCCAATATTGCAATATTGTGGCCACGTGGACTGTATCGCAGCGAGAGTAATGCTATACCGCGGGGGAGCCGCGAGCAATATCGCTCGTCTCTCGCTGCGACCTCGCAAACTTCTTTGCGCTATATCGCTCTCTGAAAAATTTTTTTTAAAATTGTTTTTGAAATTGATTGATTTCATCATGAAAGTCAAAAATAAAGCATGTTTTTTTAAAATTTCAAATTTTTTTGAGAGAGAGCGATATGGCCACGAGACTTTGACGAGGTCGCAGCGACATGTTGACGAGATCGCAGCAAGAAGCCTTGGCTATATAGTCTGTTGAAATTTTGAATGTCAAGTCGTCGCTCAAGCTCCGCCCATAATTGTGCGATAAACCAATCAGAGGACGAGCCATCCACAGAGAATTTTCGAATGACGTCATTCTACTTGACATTCAAAAATCTGAACAGACTATATAGCCTGCGGCCCGCTGCGATCGCATATCGATATCGGCGATTATGTTGGGTGATTTCTATGTCCAGTCGAAGGTTATTTATGATTTAAAGAAATTTGATAATTTTTCGATTTTTCATAAAAAAACTTGAAAAGTCTTTTGAAAATATTGAACTTGATATTTTTTCTTACACGGGGGGTGCGAAAGGTCGTGGTATTGGAATTTAATAGAATTTGGTATATAGGTACATGGAGCAGAAAAAGTTTTTGTCGAAATTCTTTCTCAGATGGGCACAAAATGGTGAATTTCAAAATTTTGAGCTGTTCTTTCACTCCATCATCAAAACTTCCTCATTTTCGAAATAAAAAAAAATTCGCAAAAATAAATTTCACCAAAAAGGGACCGAACCTTCATCATAGGTTCCACGGCGCAAGGCCGCTAGCCGGTACACCACGCCGCCTGCTGGCAGCTAGAGTTAGCCGCCGCACTGGGATAAGTTTTAGGGGGCCCTAGAGGGGATTAGGGGCCCCTGAGGGGCCCATTAGGGGCCCCTAAATGAAAACCCTATAGGGACTCCTACAAATTTTTTAGGGGTCCCATTAGGGGGCACGGAAAATTTTTGAAATAGCTCCGGGAGGAAATAGAGAAACCCTTATTGAATGCGAATCGTTAACACATCCGCAGTAAACTCATCTCATTGCGTTTGAAACTGTTTCCAAATTTATTGAAAGGAATTGAAAAACATTAAAAGCAATCAGGATCATCAATGGGAAACAGATAGACATAAGTAACAAAAAAACGAGCAAAAAACTGAAGATATGTATACGTAACAGGATATTCGAGGAAGCAAAAAAACTTTTGGCCGTAAAAGACCCGTATAAATATTTGACACGTCTAAATCACTGCCAACGGAAACCGTATTGATCAATCTAATAGAAGCTCTTCAAGACAATAAAGATACGCCTAAAGCATATTGATATAAGCGCTACTTGCGAAAAAATAGAAGAAAAACACGTTGTGTCAAGGCAAATGGTTGGGCAACTTTCAATAAAAAACGTTGGGACTTCGACACGGAAACGGTTGAAACTACTTACATAAGGGCAAAAAGTTTGGCACATATAAAAAAGAACAATTGAACAGTGAGCAAAAAACAACCAACTTTGACATTTGAAAGCAACTTATTGAATTGCTCGGCCCGCGGTAATCTTCCGTTGATTCTGGTTCATGTGGCGGCTCAAAATTTCCGTCGGCTGATTCCGTGCTTCTACGATCATTTATCATTATCAACATTTTCGATATACCTTTCAGAATCTTCATCGCTGCTGTAGAACCAATGCGCATCAATAAAATCGCGACTCCGCGGCACCTTAATAAAAAATTAAGTCTTCTTTAACGAGCAATAATCGAATAGAATATATAAACACGCATTTACATCAAAAACCTCCAACAAACATCATCTACCGGTGAATTTCTGACGGTTTCACACAATCCAGTAGACCAATTATACATAGACGAAACTCTGAAAATACCAAAATAAAAAAATACTCTGAACATATTTACATAAACGAATATATCAATTGTACATAAACGAAACACTGAAAATACTGAACCAATGTACAGATTGCCGTGTTAACTTTTATGGAGCAAAAAAAAATACGCACAAATCATTATAATACAATTTGAAACCATAACGAAAAAATCCTACTGACAACTCGTTCGTGAATAACGTATTACTTCCTTAAGCACCACAGAAATTGATGAAATATAAATAGAAGTTATAAAGTTAAACTAAAAACTGGGTCGACTGAGTCAACTCAAAAACTTAGAAAATGAGAAAGATATTTTTAAAAAAACCACGTCTCGTTCCAAGGGGTCTTCGCGACCCCTTGAGGGTCTTGCAATTTTTAGGGTGCGATTTAGGACCCCCTATAGGGGGCCCTAAGGATTTCCCCTAAAAAGGCCACTTGCAGACCCCCTATAGGGCCCCCCTAAAATCGCGACCCCCTATAGGGCCCCCTAAAACTTATCCCAGCAACACATTCCCTCCCCCCTTACAATGCATTTTTCGCGTGCAAACTTTGAGGCGCCCTAACTCGACTAAAACCAAAAAGGCGCACTTTTTTTTGAACTGCTTTGAATTCAGGGTGTTCGGAAGTACCTATATACCAAGTTTCATTGAATTCCAAAACCTGGACCTTTCGCACTTCCCGTGTTAGCATTTTAAGTTCTGAAAGTTGTCTTTTTCAAGAAAACGGGCTGAAAATATATACCTCATAGTCATATTTTCTTAAAAACAGCTCTTCGAAAAAATTTTTGACAGTTTCCAAGTAGTCTTCATGCACACTCCTTTTTTAAGCCGAGAATTTTGGAGCCCTTCTGAAACTTGCGGAAAAGTACGAAGCGGCGGCTATTTTTTCCTAAGTGCGAACACTTTTTGCGCTCCATCGAAGGAAGGAAAGTTACTCGGACATTGGTAACGCGAAACGGACGTGCTCCGGACGTTTCTGGGCAATTCTAGGGATCCCTTGAGAGTTCTGAGGCTACTAAAGTGGTCACTAGAAATGCCCCGACACGTCCTATTCGCGTCCCGTTCGCGTTACCAAGGTCTGAGTAGTATTGTGAGGCGGCTGGATTGGGCCGCCCGTTACCGTATGAACGACCTTCAGGTACTCTTTATTGGACTCAAATTGATTATTTCTCAGCTTTTTTTTCAGAACGACCTTTTCAACTCGCTGGAGGATCTGGAAACTTTGGGAAAAGTAGGCGATGATCCGGAATGGGTTAACATGTGCGAGGCTGCCAAGACGGGGTTCATGGAAGTCTTCTTCCGGATCAACAAAATGTCCTCGAATCAACGTTTCCCCTCCCTTTGAAAATTTCTTCTTTTTCTTCAAGTTATGTACATATTTTGTTACCATGATGATGTATATATGTGAACCTTTTTTTAAAAATATTTTCAAGAATTTTAAAATATATCAATAAAGTTTTAATTTATCCTCTTTTTCTTGGTTGATTCCCTCGTAGTACCTTTCATACTTGACGTGAAAACTTTAATAAATTATTCAGGTTGGAAAGTTTCACTCTTGTAATCAATTATGGAGCGTGACTTCAAAAACCGTGAGTTTATTCAAGGGGTTTTAAAATTTCCCCGAGGCTCCGCCCAGTTCCCATGCAATCCGTATTGATTTGCTCTAGTATGAGCTAGTGTGGATGATATAAATTCTAATGTTTATGGTATATTTTTTTCCATCTGATTTTTCTTACTTTTCGAAGAAACTTTTATTGATCAATCACACCTAAAGTAATAGTTTTCTCTTTTGTAACTTCAAAAAAAAATTATATAACTTACCACTTTTCAGTACCACGTTCTTTCACTAACTATTTGCTCTGATTCAGGTTTTCCGCGGGAAAACAGCAGAAAGGCCGTTTTTGAGCAATGAAGAACCCAGAAACGGACGTTTCCATCCAGGTATTATATATTTACACAGGCAAATCGGAAGGGTAAAGTGTCCACAAAGGTACCTCTCGAAATGGAACCTGAAGACCCCATAATGGGTCCATCGTGAGACCTCCGGCATACCTTTTAGCTATATCTGAGCCATCTCGGAGGTACTTCAGAGTCTCTCTCAAGCCCTCTCATTTTGCTCGAAATCCGGAGAGGTAACCTCGAGGTACCATCGTGAGACTTCAGTGTCTGCGATATACCTCTGAGGGTCTCGCGATACCCTTTCTCGATTCGTCTATGTAGTTCATTCAGGCTTGTAAGTTGGCTCCTGCGAAAAATTTATGTGTCTCGGTAAGGTAAACCGAACGTTTCTGAGGAGTTCTAGGGATCACTTGAGAGTTCTGACGCCGCTAAGTTGGTCAAGAGTCCTCTAGGTGCTCTCTAGGAGTGCTCAGAAACGCCCGGTTCGAGTTACCAACTCTCATGTTGGATAGTAGCGCCCGCGGATGCTACCGTCGTACACCCGCTTAACCCCAAGCCGAGCCCCCGAAACGCAATTTTTAGCCGCGAATAGACCCCGTTTAAGCCCATAGGATCTATGCAAAACGCCAATTTCGCGCACCGAGAGCCCGTTTAGGTACAGCGGATCACCCGAACCGTTCAAAAACACCGGGTAATCGGCAGTAGAACCCGTGTCGCTAAATTATACCGTATTAGTCCATGCTACTGGCCAGAATTCGAGAAGGTCCGAGACATGAGAAAAAGTTTTTCGTTAGTTTCGAGGCGTGAAAAGCTCCCGTATGCATTTTTATTATTATTCTCATTATTTCAGATTGGTTCGCCCTCGGATCCAAGATTCACCTTCTTTGACTTGTTCGATTTGCCTTGGTTTGTTCTGAAAATCTTTTAGTTTTCTCTGGACAATTTTTCCACCGCGAAAAAATGATTATTTCCGCAGGGAGGCACGTGGATACGATGATTTCTCCCGCTTCGTGGTGGATATCGCCTGCTGCGCCGAAAACTTCTCGACAGGCTGGAATGTGAAGGCGGACTTGAAAGTAGCATACAGATCCAACAAGTATAAACTTTCGCAAGAGATTGTGAGCTGCAAAAATTTATTTTAAAAAAATGATTCAAATTTTTTCAGGCTTGTACGTTCAACCTACAAACCAAGTCTGTTCAATTGGTCATCGAGAAGGTGGTTTTCGGCTTAAATCACACAAAAAAAAGACTAGATTCGTTCTTTTGTTGTCTACATACATGGGCTAACCATTTGTGAAGGCTTTCAATCCTTTTTCTGTGTCTTGCTCAATTAAGTTCAGTACAATCTTTTGAGGTTACTACTCAGTTTTATGCTGGTCTAAGCTAGGGGCTGAAGCATATTTTTTACAGGTTTTTTTTTTTTTGAATCTATTTGCAAATCGATCCCTCCTACTAGACTTTTTGTCTAGAGCGCCGTGATACAAGAATGAAGGGAAAATTGTAGGCCTTTTAATAGAGTTATTAGGACCCAAAAACGCCAAAAACGAGATTTTGTATTTTTCAGTTTTTTTTTTCGAGTTCCCATACTTGTGGGCCATCATAGTGCATCTTCAATCTCTTTTTCTTCCCTTTTTCTTTTCTAATGGCGTGTTCACCGGACAAAACGAAAATTGCTTCGAAACGCAAGAAAAAATTGCTCCAAAACAAAAACTAGTACTGTTTTGGAACAACTTTGGCTTGCCGATGAACACGATTTTTCGTTTTGAAGCATGTTCCGTTTCTCTGATGAACACGCCATAAAGAAATTTTTTCGGCGATGCGAAATTGCTCCATTACAGCCGTCTTCGAGTGGGATGTACGCTTCTTCGTTGGAGGCCACGATCAAAGTTTTCGAAATCAGTGGCTTCGAGGGGCGGGTTCCTCGAGATAGTTCTGAATATCTTCAATTTTTAGCGCTTGTGATGCACTCCCAAACTTCGATTTTTCCAATTCTGGAAACGGTCATGACGAGGTTTTCCTTGTAGAAGGTCTAGATTTCCATGTCCCATCTCAGGTTTGTCATTTGTTGGATATTAATTTTTTTTTTCTTGCAAACTTTTTGAAATAACTTTCTTAAAATTAAGATCGTTTCATTGTACTCGCCCGTACTCTCGAAAATCGTCAACGAGAAGAAAAACGAAGAACCGAATCCGATCGACGACAATGAAAAAGAAATCAAAGGAATCGAGCTGAAGGACGTCACAGCCGATGATTTTCGACACTTTTTGAACGCCATTTATCCTAGCAGACATGGTATCACAGGTGATCTCACATTCATAGATAAATAAATAAACCTTATTTTTTAGCCGCGAACGTTGAATGTGTCTTGAAACTCGCCGAAAAATACGAGGCGACCGCTCTTTATCCGAAATGCGAATACTTCTTGCGCTCTAAGAAGGGAAACAAATTAAATTTTGTGAAGCGGTTGAGCTGGGCCGCCTGTTACCGCATGAAAGATCTTCAGGTACCATTCATCGTATTCTCAGTGAATTCTACTCCATTTTTCTTCCCAGAACGATTTGTTCAAGTCGCTGGACAGCTTGGAAGCGTTGGAGGAGATCGGAGATGATCCAGATTGGGCTTCCATGTGTGACACCGCCAAAAGGGGATTCATGGAAGTCTTCTTCCGAATCAAGAAAATTACCTCCAACGAATTGTTTCCTCCTATCGATATTGAGACGGCCCCTGTCAAGGTTTCTCGCATTTATTATCGTTGATCCTGGTTTTTGTTCTGTTTTTTTTTTGAAAGTTGTTGCTTTTTTTTTGTCACCGCTACCCTATTTGTTTGTTACTTTTTGGATCCAATAAAATCATGAAAACGATTGGTTTTCACTTTTTTTTTGTTGAGTTTTCATGAAAATATTTTTCCACCGGATTTTTACTGCTGCGATTTCTTTTGAAATTTGAATTTGTAGCAATTCCGCAGGCTTGTGCGCCAGTCAACCTCTCGGCCCCCCGGCCACTTCCCAAGCCTGGCCCGGCCTTAGAAGGGCCTCAAGCAAAAATGGCCGGCCCGGCCCAAAAAGATTAAATTTTTTCATTTTGAACTTTTTCATTTTTTTAACGAGAAAAGTGGGGGGTTTTTTTACTTATTTTTTTCTCATAGAGTTATAAAAAAACTATGATTTAACAAGTAAAAATAATTTTTTTCGGCGAAATTTTTTTAAAAAAATGAAATTCAACATTTTTTCAAAGCCCGGGCCAGGCCGGCCCTGGGCTCTGGGCCGCTCGGCCTGACGTCATGACGCACAAGTCTGCAATTCCGTCAAAATAATTGAAATAAACGGTTACAAGTGCGCTCCATGGGTACCCGAGCAAAAGTTTGAATTTCCGATCGATATTTTCAATATTCATGTTGTTTTTCCTAATACATCCTTTTATTCATTCATTCATCATGCCGTGTTCAATTTGATTCCGCGAAATGCAAAATACCCGTCAGAGAAAGGAAAATATCACTAAATTTTGGAGGGTCAGAGATCATTTTGCATTTCGCCGAATCAAATTGGACACGGCATTAAAATTTTTGGGAAGAGTGAGGAATTATTTGAAGCTGGAGAACTTTGATTACTATCTTTCCAAGTAGCTAGTCAGTGTTCTCTATTTTTCCTATAGTCTGTTCTTATTTTTAATGTCAACCGCATTCGAAAACGCTCTGTGGATGCTTGAGCAACGACTTGATGCCGTGTTCAAAGTAATATCCGCGAAACGCAAAATGGTCTCTGTCTCTTCAAGATTTGGTTATATTTTTCTATCTCTGACGGCTATTTCGTAGTTCGCGGAGTCACTTTGAACACGGCATGAAATTCAAAATTTGAAAAGCCTTAAGTTTTCCAGGTAGACTTAAATTGATAACGCTATGATGAATCCACCGGTTGACGTACCGCTAAAGGTTCTAACTGATAATTTAGTTCCGCTAACTAATTATTTCATGGTAGATTGGTACCGAAGAAGTTCCTGCTTTTACTGATTTCAATGTTCTCAGTTTGCCGTGGTAAGTTGTCTGGGGAAAGTATTGCACTCTGAGATTTTTTTCAGGCGTGCTCGAACGTATGTAGATGCAGATTACCGTTTTGTCGTTGATATTGCATGTTGCCCGAATAAATTCTCAACGGGTTGGAACGTAAAAGCGAACATCTCGATCAATTTCGTCTCTAATAAACGCAAAAGTTCAGAAACAAAGGTTCTCTGAAAAAATCTGATGTCAAATCAAGTTTTGTTGTTTTCAGACGTGCTCTTTCAGTTTACAAACAAAGTCAGCCCGACTTTATTTAGTAAGAATTATTCATTTTTTCTTAATAAAATTGTTATTTTACCCACAGCCTTTTGCTTCTTCTGCCTTTCATACTACTTTGCAAGCAACTATCACAGTGCTCGACGTACAAGGATTTGTAAAGTTTTTGAAGAATCTTTTTCTTGAAGATTATATTATTTCAGACCTTATTTGTCCATTCCCAGCTTTGATTATTCGTCCCCTGAAATCGAACATGACGAGGTGTTTCTCGTAGAAGGCCAATTCTTTTATGTCCAGTCTCAGGTTCGCCGTGATTTTTGATGTTATTAAGGCTCACAACTTACTAAATTGTTGAAAATTAGTGTAACTAAGTAATTTCACTATGCGTTGCAAAAAAAATTTCCTTGACCTTTTTCATATTTTTTAAAATTCAGGTATGGTTTTTCTATTATAAATTTTTTTTTTCATTTCATAATGTGATTGCAGATCGTTTCCTTGCACTCTCCGATACTCTCGAAAATCATCTATGAAAAAAGAGCCGAGTTGAAGAGGGAAATCGACTTGTATGAACAACAAATCAGTGGGATCGAGTTGGTTGACGTCACTTCCGAAGAATTCCGACACTTTCTTAACGCCATTTACCCCAGTCGCGATTTTATTTCTAGTGATCATATTTTTTTGTTTTTTTTGTTCTAAATATATAATTTCGAGGTGAAAGCGTCGAAGCTGTTCTGAAATTAGCTGAAAAGTACCAGGCGACGGCTGTTTTTCCAAAATGCGAGACTTTCTTGCGTTCAATTGAAGGGAAAAAAATTGATTTCGTGAGGCGATTGGACTGGGCCACGCGTTTCGGTATGGTGTATCTCCAGGTGAACATTTTACTGAATTTTGAGAAGCGCTTTCTATTTGGAGCTTTTTTTTCTGAAGGCTACAGTTTTAATTTCATTTTTTGATGTGAATCTTATATATTGTCAGGTTTTTTCTAATTAAAATTCACTACATTTTTCAGTTTTGTGAAAAGCAAATTTTTAGACTCAATTTCTCTCAAATTAAATTGTAGAGATTTGGAAAAAATGTAAATAAATAGAGCAATAATTTTTCAATTCACGAGCATTTTTATAGTCTGTTCAGATTTTGAATGTCAAGTAGAATGACGTCATTCAAAAACGCTCTGTGGATGGCTCGCTCTCTGATTGGTTCATCGCACCATTATGGGCGGAGCTTGAGCGACGACTTGACATTGAAAATATGAACAGACTATACCACCAATTGAAACTTTTTAGCATGAGCTGTTCAAATCGCTGGATTCTTTCGAGAAATTGGCAAAAGTCGGCGAAAATCCCGAATGGATCAACATGTGCGAAACGGCCAAAACAGGATTCATGGAGGTGTTTTTCCGGCTTGAAAAAACGCCTTCAAATCAACTTTTCCCTCCTCTTTGATTATTTTGTTGTCCGTGAAATTTTTCTCGCAGTTTCCGTTTTCTTTTTTTTCTGTTCCATAGATTCTGGAAAAGTTTAACTCAGAAAATTGTCCAGTTTTGATGAGACGGGTTCCAAGATACAAAAGTGGATGATTTTTCGATTTTTATGTATTTTTGAAATATTTTTTTCAGAAAATATCTAATTATCGAGCTGAAATTGGAACCCAAAAATTTTTTAGACCTTTTTCTATTTATTTGCTTCTATTTTCACACCTTTTAACCATTACTGTTACTCCCAATTACTCCAAATCTATATGCACATATTTTTTCACAACATATTTACCCTTTTTTCCTTTTTCAAAATCACCAATTTTTCGTCAAATTTTTCTGTTGCTTCCTGTGTACAAACTGTTACTGTTATTTATCAAGTTATCGTTCATTCCTTCACTTACATAAATTTTAAAAAAGCATTTCAATTTTCAAAGTCTCGTACTTTCAAATTGGAGTTACCTCGAGGAAAAAAGAACCTTTTAAATATCAGATGTCGCTTACTTATAGAAGAAAGAAGATCGGCTGTCCGAACGACCAGAATCATTAAGTCCGATAAAACCGATCAAAATCTTGGAAAAAAAACAAAAATTATGACTGGAGCCCGTAACCCGAGAGAAGGGCGAATCAAAATTTTTGATGAAAATTAGAAAGAACAGCGGATCAATATATTGAATGAACTCGAAAAAGTCTCGTTTCTCTCAATTTTTCAGAATTTTCTAAATTATTTTTAGGCAAAAATTGCCGGAGCCGTTTTTGAGGCTCGCTGGAATGTTTGAAACCACGGCTCTTTTTTCAAAATGAGAAAATTTTCTGCGCTCCGAAAAAGAAAAAAAAATTTGCATTGTGCAGCGATTGGACTGGGCCGCCCGATACCGTATGAATGACCTTGAGGTACGTAACAATTCTAGTTCTGATACAGATTTTCTGTTTCAGAACGACCTGTACCAGTCGATGAACGGCCTCCACGAATTGGCCAAGTTGGCCGAAAATCCTGAATGGATCAGTTTCTGCGAATCCGCCAAAAACGCGATTAATCGACTTTTTCTATTGCCTTGTTTAATTTTCAAAACGCCTTTTGTGTATACTTCGAACTCTCTCTGTCAGACTTCCATGTTTTATAATAATTATGAACATCTCGAGATTCTTGGCCATTTTTGCTTTTTTTCGGACTCATAAGCTCATCTACCACATATGCCATCAACTTTCATGCATGGAAATTAGCTCAACGCTTTTAAATGTATGATTCTACTCTGCTCCACCCTGATATTCCTAAAAACTTCTTTGTCATCCAAGTTTTTAATTTTTAATATTTTTAAAATTTTTTTCTGCCTTTTGATTATAAACTTATTTTTGTCAAATATGGTTTTTGTTCCTTTTTTCGGTTTATTCTCAAAACGTTACTTTAATGCCAGATTATCAAACAGTAAGGAAAGAACTTTTTCTTGGAAAAAGGTACCGTCTGTTTTTGTAAAAATAACACTGTAAACTGCTTTTTGCAAGTTTAGTCTATGAAAAGATAGATTGAAACTCTCCGGGAATTATTTCATTGAGATATTCAGAGCTTATTGTTTCTTTTTCCTTTTCTTTTGAGAATTAACTTTTGCAGATGCCACCTGCCAACAAGAGAATGAAGGTTGGCCAACAGAATTACTACAGCGCCCAAGTTAAAGATCTGAAAGAAGAAAAAAGCAGAATTATCGATGAACTTCATGATCTGCGAGAGGAAAGAACCAGACTTATTGATCATCACCGTCGTCTGGAAGAGGGAATGGTCGAGACTGAAGCATTCGAACCGAGCGAGCAGAAAATCAAACTTCTCGATGAAGTCCTGGATCTGAGGAGAGAAAGAAACAAGATTCTCGATCGTACCTACACTCTGCAAGAACAAAAAAACTTTCTTCTCAATGAAGTGCACGATCTGAAACAAGAATGGATCAAGCCTGACGTCTCCGGCCTGAGAAAGGAACGGATCGAATTGCGCGATCAGCTCTCACAAAAGTCAAAAGAGTGTGCCGAAGTCAAATCGGAACTCAATGACTTGAAGTTGCGTTTCAACAGCTTATTCGGAAATACCGACGTTGTGCACCTTGAGAACGTAAAATTGAAGGCCACCCTGGAAGAACTGATCAAGTCCAACTCGGAACTCAAGGAGAAGCTCGTGAACGCGCACTGCGAAAACGCCAAAATGAACGCGATACCACTGCAACTGAATATGGCCAGAGCGGAGACCAAAGTTCTGCGCAGAAATCTCGAATCTCTGTCGCGTAAGAATGAGCAGCTCCAATCTGAGAATCAGAACTGGAAGGCCGTCTTGTCTGCCTTGGCCGACGCTGCCCGGTTCAAAAACAGAGAAGTACGTGATGCAAGCCTGTTCGCCGCTCAAGGTAGAACCCAAAATAAACTTCCTTTTCGAATTTGATTTCCGCCAGATTGCCACGGCCCAAACTCCAGCTCAGAACGATGCCAAATCGGTTCACGTAACATGGTACGTTTCGCATTTTTTGAAATTTTCAAAGGTTAAAGGAAAAAAGTATTATTTGAAAAAAAATCACTGGATATAACTTTAAATTTGCGCTCCGTGATAAGGCACAAAACAAGATGATTTATAAATTTTACATGTGGTACGAAATGGAAAAAATATAGGCGCTGAGGAGGCGTGACCTGTCTGCGCTCTATGCCAACCAGGCACTATCTCTTCTTTTATCGTGTCAGGACCCATTTTTCGATGGCTCGAGCCAGTCGTGAGTCAGCTGGGATGTATTGCAAATTTCCATCATCCATCATGTTTAATTTCAATTTTTTTTTCATTCTTTGAGAATTTCTCGAATGCTCTTTATTCATATGACATGCTGAAAACAATTTCCTGAATTTTTTTTAAAGCTTTTCTCAAGTCATTAAATAATTCGGACCTAGAACGAACCATTGAGCGCGGTGTAAAAAAATTTGATAACTTTTTGGGTGTTTAAAATCAAAATGTTGAATGCGCGCGTATAGCTGATTCACGGCTAGGTTGGGACGTTAAGGGGGCGTGTCCTGTCTGCGCTCTCCACGCGCCAGGCGCTGTCTTGTGCATTATCGTGTCAGGATCCTTTTTTTTCGATGGCTCAAGTCAGCCTTGAATCAGCTATAAGAGCTGTATCTCGTAAGACACAATTCTTTTACGACCCCCAAAATTTGTTCGCAAAATTCCAATTTTGCGTATTTTGCGAATTCATTTCAAACGAAAAACACGTCCATTTTGTAATCGTCGAGATAATTTTAAACACGGCGTCATCGTTGGAATGATACAGCTGATTCACGGCTCGCCTGAGCCATGAAAAAAAAGGGTCCTGACGCGATAAGAAAAGAGACACTGCCTAGTTGGTGGAGAGCGCAGACAGGCCACGCCCTTTTTCGTCCTCAAGCGAGCCGTGAGTCGGCTATACTCGGAGCTTTTCGTGCGGAAACTTAATATATTAAATTTTGCGAAGGCCTGAGCTTTTTTTTTCATTTTTTAGGCAAGCGCGAACGTTTTTGGATGAGTCTTCTCGATCCATTGTGGAAATCACATGTTGTCCGAAGAATCACTTTGATTATTGGAACGTTAAAGCAAATATATCGATTAAATATCTTCACAACAGACTGAATGTTTCCGAAACGAGGGTTGGTTTGAAAAAAAGTGTCCATTAGTTTTAAATTGTCAATTCTAGTTTTTTTCATTCGACTCGCTCATGAAGAGAGTTCAAATGGTTCTGAAAAAGGTATTCCGTTTCTATTTAGCCAAAAAAAAAAATGCTCCAGAGTAAATTGTCAGCTTCGAAACATTTTTCATTCGGATAGAAATCTCGATGCTCTAAAAAAATTTTTTTTGTAGAAAAACACCAGTGCACTGCAAACTACGATCGAAGTTGTTGAAATGGAAGGATTTGAGGGGTTTTTTTCCTTTCTAGTTTGATCCCTTTTTGTAACAGTTGCTTTCAAGAGATCAAGGACCATTTCTAGTGTTCGATTTTTCATCTTCTGAAACGGCTCACGACGAAGTTTTCTTTGTAGAAGGCCAACCATTTTATGTCCATTCGCAGGTTCGTTGTGAGTTTTCGAAATTCGCATTTGGAAAAATTTTCCTGTACAACGTATGAAAAGAGATGCGGATATCTATTATTAATTCGCGTAAACGGATATTTTTTTCATGTGCATTTATTGCATATTTACCATAATTACAAATTAATCGTTCAGAACGTTTTTCGTGCATTCTTCGGTCCTCGAAAAGGATTGTCAATGAAAAGAAAAATGAAATGAAAAGAAGACAAAATAAAAGAAAGAAATCGAAGAAGAACAAATCAGTGGAATCGAGCTGAATGACGTCACAGCAGACGAGTTTCGACATTTTTTTGAACGCGATTTATCCTGTTCGCAATGGAATTTGTGGTGAATTCTGCTCCCAAACATTTTTTTGAGCGATTACATTTTTATTTTTGAGCCGAAAGTGTTGGAGCTGTTCTGAAACTGGCCGTAATGTACAAGGCGACAGTTCTTTTTCCCGAAATGCGAGCGGTTTCTGCGCTCCGAAGAAGGAAAGAAGATTTGCGTCGTGCAGAGGTGGGACTGGGCCGCCCGTTACCGTATGAACGACCTTCAGGTACCCATTCAAACTCTGCAAACAGCAAAAAGTGTTGATTTTTCTGCTTCAGGAAGACCTGTACAAGTCGATGAACAGCCTCCACAGAATTGGCCAGGTTGAGCGAAATTCCTGAATGGATCAACATGTGCGAAGCCGCTAAGAATCAGTTTATTGCATTTTTTTCTTCCGCCTTGAAAAAAATTATTTTCTGAGCATATTTTGCGTCTTCTTTTGAAATTGTTTTTTTCGTTTTATCTTTTGCCTTCGAAGATTTGTATGTCTGCTTTTCTATAGCATCACCAAGATTTTTTTGGAAATTTTTTTCGAACTTTTAAAGTACTTTGAATCTACTCATCCACGCTCTAAAAGAAAAAAGTTCAGTGAATTTTTTCCCATCCGTATTTTATTAACGCTAACTTGCGCCAAGAACCGGTGTGACCAAAAATTATTCAATTTTTTCGCGATTTTATTGTCTCGGCTCATTTCCTTCCCAAATGTATACACTTTCCGTCTTTTCCCTGCCAAAACAATATTTTTCCGAATTTTTGTAATTGTGTTTTTTTGTTCCTTTTTGTTATCTGTTTTTGTTGTTAGAATATAGTTTTTATTTTTTGGAGTTGTGGTTTTGTTTTTTTCAGTTTTATTCTCAGAATGTTACCTTTACGTTCGAAAGAAGAGGTGTAGATTATAGTCAATTCTTCCCGACTTGAAAGGAAAGGGTTGCGTATAGTCAATGTTTCCCGACTTGGACTCGTGCCAAGAACCGCGAACGCACACGCTACGCGTCCCGCCCCTTGCCCCGCCTCCTTCACCTTTCAAGTCGGGAAACATTGACTATACGCGAAATTGTCACGTTTTTCTTTTCGTCAAAAATACAGTAACCAAATTAGATCCAATTAGACCAACTTCGCTTCAAGACCTTTTTTTGCTTTTTTGTAAAGTAGAATTGCAATGAAGTTTTTTTTAGGGTAGCATTTTTCTTCTGCTGTTCTTGAATAACGAGACCACCTCGCGCGGAAGCCGCAAAACTCAAAAAAAAGACCCAAAAACAATGGTCGTGAAGCGAAATTGGTCAAGTAGTTGAACTATTGAAAATATAAAAATCATGAAAGTCTTTATTTACTTTCCATGACCTCCAGAATAGTACTTATTTGTTTTCAGATGTACTCACGACCAGTCAAAAGGAAAAAGCCTGCCGTTTTGGAACGTAACAGACGCGAAATAAAGGATTGGAAAGAGGAAGTCGAAACTCTGGGAGAGGAGAGAATCGTTATTCTTCGGAATCATCCTCAAAGGGAGCGAGAAATCAAGATTCCATTACATGATCCAAAGGAGGAACCATACGAACCCGCAGATACGAAGGAGCAGCCGAAGAATCTACTCGCCCAACTGAAGAAGAAGTCCGAAAGAGTGCGATCGAGTCAAATTAGAACTGTTGACTCTCAAACATCGTTTCTGAGACCCTCGTCGAAAATTCGGATGTCCTGCACTTCGAAAAAGCGAGACTCAAGCCTCCGTGGAAGAACTGACCCAGGCCAACACCGAAATGGGAAATTTACGGAAGAATCTCATAACTTTGCACAATGAGAACACCAAACTGAAAGCCTCCGTAGAAACGCTGAATCAAAACGAAATTGGAACCCGAATATCTACGCGAAGAACTGAAAGTTTCCCACTGCGAAAAATATGAAAGTGTCGAATATTGAACTGAAAGAGACGTTGCACGAACTGGATTTGGCGAGAGAAAGGGTCAGAACACAACAAAAAGAACATCAACTTTCTGTCTCTCCAAAATGAGAACCTCAGATTCGAGATACAAGACCTGAGGTCCGTCTTGTCGGTCTTCATTGGATCCGAAAAGAAATGAGTCGCCTCTCACGGTGATGATAATATATTCACTTTGAAATCATTGTATTTTTGATTTCAGGTCACCACGAACGAAGCTCAAGCTGATGCTCAATTGGTCAACTTTAAATGGTGCGTCTTGTACAGCCTGTGTATCACGACTTGAAATTTCACCGAACGACATTTCGCTGTTCCGCAGCGTGCTCGGCCGCGCCTCCACTTTTTTATTTTATTTAAGAACTCGACCAACACGTGTTCCTAGTGCAACAGTCCATCTATCAGAAATGAGAACCAATTTACAGCGAGACCGAGGCTCGCAAAGACCCTTCGCGACGCAGCGGAACAGCGGAATGTCGTTCGGTGAAATTCCAAGTCTTAGCACAGAGACTATAATTGAAAGGTTTTGATGGAAAATGAGCAGGACCGTTCAACCAAAAAATAAGTTCAAAAGAAATGGTTTGTAGGGCATGTGCGCTCCATGAATAATATACATTCAGGCCAGGCTTGGGCGAGGGCCGGCCCGTCAACCTATCGGCCCCGCGGCCACTTTCCAAGTCCGGCCCTAGAGAGGCCTTAAGCATAAATGGCCAGCCCGGACCAAAAATGCTCAAATTTTTTTCTCAAGTATAATATCAAGCCTTTCTACGTCAGAAATCATTTTTAAGTCAAAAATCAACCGGTCATTCATCTCAATAAATATAATAATTTTGACATTAATTGTATCATTTTGAACTATTATTTTTTGGAAAGCTCCTTTTTTGCTATCTTTTTGCGACATTCCATCGGCTCTTGTGCACCATTCTGACTGCTTCTCCCCTTTCCCCACCAAGTTTCGAACATTTCAAGTTCTAGAAATGCTCGATAAAAGGAATCTTATTGCTGTCTTGTCGCAACCTTTCTTTAGACCTCCCCCTTTCAGCGGCCATTATCCGACATACCGATTTTGCCCGAGTATGAATTTTTCCCTGTTTCCAGGCGAGAACGAACATTTTTTAACGAGTTTTCTCGTTGCGTTGTTGAAATTACCTGCCGTCCTAAGAAGTTGTCGAATTGTTGGAGTGTTAGAGCTAACGTCGGGATATCATACGTCTACAGACATGAGAAATTTTCAGAAATGAAGGTTTTATTTTTTTGATTATTTTTATCGAAGTTCTTTTCATTTTTAGACCTTTACTTTCAATCCATTGATGCCGACAGTTCGAATAGTTTTGAACAAGGTATTCATTTTAGCCAAACTCTGAACGGAATTATTGTTTACTGATACTTTTGATCGGGTTTTTTATCCATTTTCTCATATCATCATCTTGAAAATAAGAAAAATCTAACATTTTTCAGCCGAGGATGAATAGGAACAATACAAGTTCAGTGAGATCTCTGGTTGGAGTGCTTGAGATAGATGGATTTGAAGGGTTTTTCAACCCTTATCTTATTCTGGAGATACCCATTTTAAGACTTCAAGAAGAAATTCCAACGTTCGATTTTGCGAACTCTGAAACATTTCATGACGAAGTATTTGTTGTGGAGGGTCAGCCGTTTTATGTCCAATCTCAGGTTCGTGGTGCTCTTTATCATGTAGAAAAATGATTTTTGAAACATTTTCGCGTTTCTTTTTCCAGAAGGGGAAGATATTTGCTCGTAAATATTGAGGGTTTTTTTTTTAAATTTCAATAAATTACACGTTTTCTGGTACTAATCAGATATTTTTTCAGAACGTTTTCGTGCATTCTCCGGTCCTTGAAAGGATCGTCAACGAGAAGAAAAATGAAATGAAAGAAGACAAAATAAAGAAAGAAATCGAAGAAGAACAAATCAGTGGAATCGAGCTGAATGACGTCACAGCCGACGAGTTTCGACATTTTTTGAACGCAATTCATCCCTTTCGTGATGGTATTTGTGGTGATTTTGTTCTCGAGATCATTTTGAATACTAAAGTTTATTTGAAGCCAAAAACGTTGGAGCTGTTCTGAGGCTGGCTGAAATGTACGAAGCGGCATCTCTTTTTCGCGAAAATGCGAGCGGTTTCTGCGCTCCGAAGAAGGAAAGAAGATTTGCGTCGTGCAGCGATTGACTGGGCCGCCCGATACCGTATGAATGACCTTGAGGTACCTGTTTCAACTCTTAAGAGAATAATCGATTTTCTGTTTCAGAACGACCTGTACCAGTCGATGAACGGTCTCCACATGCTGGCCCAGTTGGGCGAAAATCCTGAATGGACTAATTTGTGCGAAGCCGCCAAAACGCGAATAATTGACTTTTTCTTCCGCCTTGAAAGATCATTCGCACAAACCATCTTGCGTTTTCTGTGAACGGAAACTCTCTTTCTCGATTTTCATAATGGAAATCTAGGATTTTAAAAGCATCCGAATTTCCATGCATGAACACAAAAAATCCCATTTTTTAAATTCGTCTCTGACATGGAAAAATCTTTCCAAAATATCTTGAAAGGATCCGCGAATTTTTAAAATTCATCGGTGATTAACGTTTGTGGACTTATTTCCTTCCTACTTGTATACTTATCCTTTTCTCAACCAAAAAGCCTTTTTTTTCTATTCTGCATCATCTTGTTATCTTGTTACTTTTTTTCCGTTGCTACTGTTTTTAATCATAAATTTTTACTTTTTTATAGAACCATCCATTTTAGTCCTACTCCCTGTTCGATTCTTGAAATATTTTTATTGAAAAATTATTAATTTTTATGAGTGGGATCTAACTTGATCCCTTCAGATGTTATTGTTCCCTGTCAAGAGGAAAAAACCCTCCGTTTCGGACCATAACAGACTCGAATTCGATCATGCTCTCGATGCAAAAGAGCAACGATACGAACTCACGATCCGCAATTTAAAGGAGCAACAACTCAATCAACTTGAAAAACTCGAGAAGAAGTCAGAGTGCGATCGAGTCAAATTGGAACTGTTAACTCTCAAACATCGTTTCGAGACCTTCATCGGAAACTCAGATGTTCTGCACTACGAAAACGCGAGACTGCAAGCCTCTGTAGAAGAACTGACCCTGACCAATTCGGAAATCAGAGCCCTCCGCGAGAATCTTATAAGTTTACATAATGAAAACGCGAAATTGAAGGCCTCCGTGGAAAAATTGACTTTGGAGAACTTGGAACTTGAATATCTACGCGAGAAACAGAAAGATTCGCAATATGGAAATTTCGAAGCTAAGCAAGGAGATGCGAAGTTGAGAGAACTATTGCATGAACTGAGTTTGACGAAAACGAAGGTCAAAGTTCAACGCAAGAATCTCAACTATTTGTCTTTCCATAATGACAACCTCGGATCCGAGGTTCGACACCTGAAATCGGCCTTGTCTACTTTCAAAGAAACTGAACCAATAGAAGATGAGCGACCGTGCCCCCTAAATAATTCTCCGTCTGTGGTAATGATAGATAGGAGATAAATATTATTTTTATGATGTCAGTTTACTGCGGCCGAAGCTCCAGCTCAAACTGATGCAAATTGGTTGACATAGAATGGTACGTTCGGTAAATAAAGTCGACTGGAGGCGCGTTTTTGTTGCCAAAAGTGCGCATGCGTCGCCTGGGTTTCTTTTTATTTTTTTCCACTTTTTAGCTAATTGAAAAATTTTTATAAGTTTAGTATTTTTCAAGTCTTTGAAAAAAACTTGAAAAATTTTTATAACTCTCTTCTAAAGTGTTCGGGACCGCTTTTTTGCTTTTTAGTTTACTAGGTAGGTTTCTTCTTGATTTGCAACCTTGAACGTGTTGAAATTTTCGATTTTTAATCGGAAACTGCATTTTTTTTTGATTTTGCGTACTTTTTTTCTAAATTTTTGATCCTTTCCCTCCAACAGTCACAGTGTATCAACTTCAAAAGATTCTTCTAAATTCATAATTTTTGTACGTAAGTCGGAAGTAGAGTGGAAAAAGCGCAAGAGATTCAAGAATAATTTTTTTGTAAACTATATTCCTGTTGCGATCTCTTATCATATATTTTTTTAAAACTCGATTTTCTGATAAATAGTTCAACTTTTCAACTTGGAAAAACTGAAATTGTAATTTTAGGCAAGAACGGACTTTTTTCGATGGGAATTCTCGTTGTGTGGTGGAAATTGGTTGCTGTCCAAAAAAGTTCTCTACTTGTTTATCAAAACGAAAGTGTTGATTACATATCTTCACAACAAACAGGAATTTTCCGAAAGGAGGGTTTGCTGGAAAAAATATTAAACTTTTTACGATTTTATTTCATTTTCAGACTTGTTGTTTCAGTTCACAGGATCCGTAGGTTCTAGTCGTTTTGAACAAGGTTTTCTGTTTTCCTTTTGTTTATATTGATATAAGAGTTTTAAAGCTTTTTTTCAGATTTTCAATCATTTTTTTCTATCAATGGCTTCTAATTAAAAAAACAAACGATTTTCAGACATCGATGAGTTTAAAAAACACACGTTCAGTGCGATGTTCGATTGAAATAATCGAGATAAATGGATTGGAAAAGTTTTTACTTCTAATTTCGCCTTTTCATGATTATTTGTTTTCAGAGATGAAAAACCGTTTCTTCTTCCAAGATTTGATTTTTCAAGTCCAGACGACGAAGTTTTCTTTGTAGAAGGTCAATCCTTTTTTGTAAAATCTCAGGTTCATCGCGAATGTTAAATTTGATTGGAAAAAAAATTTTTAGATGGTTTTTTTCTGCATTGTCCAGCTCTCAGGAAACTTCTCAGTAAACTGAGAAACGGACGGAAAAAGGAAGTTGACAGGGAATTCGGCGTCAATGAACGACAAATCGGTGGAATCGAGCTGAATGACGTCACAGCCGAGGAGTTTCGTCATTTTTTGAACGCAATATACGCCTCTCGCGATGGAATTTGTGGTGAGTTCACTTCCAAACCTTTTTTGGCAATTTCATTTTTATTTTGAGCCGAAAGTGTTAGAGCCGTTCTGAAACTGGCTGACATGTACGAGGCGACAGTTCTTTTTCCCGAAATGCGAACATTTTTCTGCGATCCGAAGAAGGGAAGAAAAATTGGTATCGCGCAGCGTTTGCACTGGGCCGCCCAATACCGTATGAAAAATCTCCAGGTAGCGGATCCTGCTCTGAAAAAGAGAAAAGACTTCAGGAAGACTTGTACAAGTCGATGAACAGCCTCCACAAGTTGGCCAAGTTGAGAGAAAGCCCTGAATGGATCAACATGTGCGAAGCCGCCAAGACTCAATTAATCGCATTTTTCTTTCGCCTTGAAAAATCATTCTCACATCAAGTTTCACGTTTTCTTTATGTTGATTCTTGTTGGACTTCTTTTTCTGTTAACAGATACTCAAAATTTTTATTGATTGTTTTTTTTTTCTTTCAAAAAGAAAAGCTCTGATAGTTGGTCGAGGTGATAATTTTGAGATTTGAAAAATTATTCTCATTACATTACCTTCTACTTCAATTTCTTCTTAATACGCTTTTTTGCTTTCATTGCTCTCAAAGCAGCCTTTTTCAAACTTCCATATGAATATATTGTTATAGAGTTTCGTTTCCTGTATTATTACATTATAAATTTTACTGTTTTAATAAGCTGTATATAATCTTTTTTGTCGGTTTCATTCGCGAGACTTACCTTTTTTGTGCGAGAAAAGACATTTTGCGACCATGTTTCAGATGAGCGAACCGTCCACTTCTGTGTTTGTTGATGTAAATCCTTGCCTTGGATCTTTAAAGAAATTGCTTTTAAGATTGGAACGACATACAAGCCTGCTGTGACAGCTTTTTATCGTCATAATCTGCCATGGTTGGTCGAAGAATGATTCATTTAATATTAATGGTTGAAACAAATATTTCAAAAGGTCTGAGCTGAATAAAGAAGTCAACAGGTAAAATAGCTAGAAAGATCTTTCGTGGTAATTTTCGTTTATTGGGAGAAAAAGAACAATTCAAACTTGCACTTTTTTGGGAAAGCCACAACGTATTTCGATGGAACTTCTTCCTATGTTACCGATTTGTCTTGTTGCCCCGAAAATCCTTCGCCTGACTGGAATCTGGAGGCCAGCGTCAAAGTTCAACTCATCAGTAAAATTCCTATAGCGGAAACTACGGTCAGTTTTTTAAAGTTCGGAGCGAAGTCTCTCATTGGCTGGACACGCCCGTTTTTTTAAACTTTAGTCAGTCAGAAACGTTTTCAAGACGAATTTGTTGTCAATAATTAAAACTTGATCATTTTAGAAAGTATGCTCATTCGACTCGGAAAACAAAACAGAACAGTTCACTTTAAAACAGGTTAGTGCTCCAGAATTTAATTCGATGCCGTGCTCAAAATAATCTCGCAAAACTCAAAATTGTCGTCGGAAAGGGCATACCTATTGGGGTGAGGGAAGGTGAGGCGTCAAAATTTCTGCATTTACAAAAAAAAATAAATGCGCGCTCCGGATAGAATGACGTCATAAATTAAATGAGTGTTCAACGTTAATAACTCGTTTGTTAGGTCGTCTTTGGTTGCGTACTTGAGATTTCAGTTTTCGTGCCAAAAAAAAAATTTTTTTTCGACGTTTCTCTATCCCGTTTGAGATCGCCGTGGAAAAAGGATAAATAAACTTGGGGAGTCAGAGATATTTATGAGTTTTGTGGAATAAATTCGAGCAAATTGTTAAAAATCAACGTTTCAGTCGTTTAAAAGTGTCATATTGCTGCTTCTGACTATTGAAGTTGAATCGACAAGTCCGCCTGAAAGGTTTGTTACAATAAAATACCAGATTTATTATTATTATTTTTTTCATAATACCGATTTTTTTCAAGGAAGAATAAATGGGGTCTAGAAGCGGAGAACCTTTTTTTCCTTGTAAAAAAATTTTTCTGCGCTCTTCGACTCTTTAAAGAAGTCATGAATTCACCAGGAATATTTTTCAGAAAGAAAAAACGCTACGACTATTTGTCACCGAAATGCGAGCATGATGAGGTCGTCTGGGTCGGCAATCGTCCTTTTTACATTCTTTCCGATGTCTTTTTTCTTGAATAAAAAAATGTCTCATTCCAATTTTCAGGTAATTTCTACTCTTTCGCCCGTCTTCAGGAAGATTATCGCCAATAAAGGGATTTCAAAGAAGAGAAAGAACGGAATCGTTTTGAGTGACGTCACCGAGAAAGAGTTCCGAATTTTCATGGAGTCCATTCATGGCGATCAAGCACTTGTTAATGGTTTTTTCATATTTTTAATAACTGCCAAGTGAGGCTGTTGTATTTGGAGGTTCAGAACTATCTGAAATTTTGACCCGAAAAATTTGATTTCCTAGAATTCTGTGGTGCTTTTCTCTTAAATTGCTCTAGTAATTTACTATGTTAAGTATCATCCATCGTTCTTTGTAAAGCCTCGGGACGAGTCTTTTGTCCAGGGGTTGGATGTAATGGTTCTCCTTTTAACATCGCAACATTTCATCATGCTTTGTGAACATGTGCCAAGAGAGGCGGCGCCTGAGGCACTCGCCCTCTCTATTGATTACAACATCACTCTGGCATGGCGCACTGCTAGCGTGCGCCACGAAATAAAGATTCAAGCCGAGTTCGCATTAAAATCCGCTACACATTTAACCGGGAAATGAGGGGAACATTTTCCCGCGTTACATGGAGGTCCCGGATACTTCTGCTATATTCCATCTAGCAGAAGGTGAACTTCTGTCTTCCCCTATTCGACCTACGACAGATAATCCGGCCACACTGATTGCTACCAGTTATTCTATTCTACTTCAAAGACTCTATCTGGCACTCGCACGTTTTTTGGTTGGCGTACGAGACATCTACGAAGTCGCACCTGAACAGAAGAAGAACACCCGGCGACTTGCGGTTTGGTCGGTTACGCAAGTACACTTAGTCTGTTCATTTCCTTTATCTCTGATGTGTTTTTCTCAAAAATTGGAAGTGATAATTTAAAAACCAATTTCTGATTCAAACTCTGTCTACATATGGGATGAATGTAACAGTTGTTAATTGTACAGTTTGAGCGTGGCTGTCCTCATAGAAATTGTATCACTGAATATCTTTAAAAATCTGTCATCAGAGACCTTATTCATTTCAAATGTAAACTCTCTTTTTCTCAAAATTGAAGTAGCATCAGTTGTTAAGCGAACTTGGCAAGCCAAAGTCCGGCACATACCATCCGATTTTTTTATTTCACATGTTCACTTGAGAACCATTCTTTTTAAGATCCTGAAGCCTCGAGGACGAGACTTTCGTCGACGCCCGGGATGTGGTGCTTTTTCTCTTAAATTGCTCTAGTAATTTACTATGTTAAGTATCATCCATCGTTCTTTGTAAAAGCCTCAGGGACGAGTCTTTTTGTCCAGGGGTTGGATGTAATGGTTCTCCTTTTTAACATCGCAACATTTCATCATGCTTTGTGAACATGTGCCAAGAGAGGCGGCGCCTGAGGCACTCGCCCTCTCTATTGATTACAACATCACTCTGGCATGGCGCACTGCTAGCGTGCGCCACGAAATAAAAGATTCAAGCCGAGTTCGCATTAAAATCCGCTACACATTTAACCGGGAAATGAGGGGAACATTTTTCCCGCGTTACAATTCAACAAATTTTTGATGCTTGTGCAAGGGCCGGCCCATCAGCCTATCGCAAAAGCTCTAGTTTACTTCTAGTCGAATATCAAGCTTTTTACAACAAAAATCACGCTTTTTGTAAACATTTTTCACTAAAAAAATCAACAGAAACTATGCACTAACAAGTAAAAAGAAGTTTTTCGTTGAAAACTTTTTTTGATATATTTGAAACTTTATCCGGAGCCTGGCCTGGTCCAAGCTCGCGCAGATTCTCGTTCAAACTGAGGCGCAAAGCTCGGGACAGGCCGGCCCGGAACCAGCCTGACCCACAAGCGTGTTTGGCTCTTTAGGCTTATAAAACGAAAATTTTGATATTTAGACCCTTAAAAATAATTTCTACTATGAAACTTCATTTTACCCTTAAAGTACTGTTAGCACAAATTTAGAGGAAAATTTGAGCGGGAAAATGACCATTATGTTTTGAGATTGTGTTGCGAAAAATGGTTTGATATTAATTCGTGGACAAATCAGCGTGAACCCTAGAGAGTTCACTTGGATTTAGAATTTAAAAAGATACATTTCACAGCTACACATCAGTCGAGCCTCGAAGGAATTTTGTTGATAGTAAATTTCCAGAAGGAAACATAGAAACTCTTCTGAAGCTTGCCAATCAATTCGATGCGGCCATCGTCCTCCGAATGTGCGAACAGTTCATCCGTTCCGAAGAGGGCGACAAGATTAGTTTCCTGAAACGCTTGAATTGGGCTTCGAACTACGGGATGGTCGATCTTCAGGTTCATTATTTTATTTTTAGCCAGTTGAAATTCCCCTCTGTGCTCTTGTTCCTCCGGAAAGTGATGCGAATAGACTGAAAAGGATGATTTTCAGGCTGACCTGATCGAGTCGATCGAGAGTTTGGGCGCACTGGCCAGTCTCCGGACAAGTCCCGATTGGCCTGAAACTAGCCAGACAGTGAAAACACAACTTTTGGATGTCTTCTTCAACCTCTTCAAACCCACTTATCTTTATTGAATTTTTGTTCATGTCGTTTTATATTCGCATCTGTTCTCATAGTCTATTCCCCGCCAGCTTTTCACGTTTTTCTTCCCGCTAAGACCGTATACTAAATGAGATAGAATTTAATCGTCTTTGCTTCAAGACCTCGGCTTTTTGCAGTTTTATAGGCAAAAATGGATAAAAGCTGTAAATTTTTTAAACATGACCGTCTCAGAACGCACTATACTTCTTTTCTGCCCCTTTGCACTATTGTCACATTTTTCTCACTTCCTCGGACGTTGCTAACGCAAAACGGACGTCCTCTGAACGTTTCTGAGCAGTTCTAGGGGTCACTTAAGAGGGCTGAAGCTACTAAAATGGTCACTACAAAATGCCCCGACACGTCCGATCCGCGTTACCGATGTCCGAGGCATCGAAAACTCATGTCGACTACCATTTTAAGCATTCTAAAAACTGTGAATATTTCCAATTTCTTGCATGTTTCTGTTGTTTTCTATTGAAAATTTTATCATTGTTGATTTTTCATAAATTTTTTTATACAAAGCCACGGTTACTAGTTTTTTTCTGTTTGCAATATCCGGTGAAGTATTTTTGTCGCAAATTTTTTTCTTTTTTTCCATTGGTCATATCCGAAAAATTTTTCTTAGGAAAAGAATTCAAAATCATTGGATTTTCGAAAATTTTTATTATCTTTTTCGTAAAATTAAATGTTTGCGAACGCGACACTCGAAACGACGACAATTTCAAATTCTGCCCTGCACTAAGAATAACTGACGAGATAAACGCGAGCTCGGTGGCGGTACATTGACTAACTCGCAAAAAAATGTCGCTTTTTTTCTAGGCGCGATCCAGCATTTCTCTCGGCGCGACCTCGCATTTTTTTCTCGGCGCCATCTCGCATTTATCTTGCATTTCGGAAATTTTTCAAATTGCGAGAGAAATGCGAGCTCGCGCCTAGAAAAATGCGAGCTCGCGCCCAGACTAATGCGAAACCGGCGCGAGAAAAAAAGCGAGATGTTTGCGAGCTCGTCAATGTACCGCCAGTGTCTCGCGTTTATCTCGGCAGTTATTCTTAGTGTGAATGGCGGCTTTTCTCTTATTTTCAGTTTTTTCTTTCTTTTGAGTCAGTGGTTTTTGCTTCGAGTTAATTCGAAGAGGAAGATGAAATTCTTTTATTTTTTTTATATTTCTATGGATGAACTGGCCTCTAAAAATTTTTAATTTTAGTTTTTAACCATTGAAAATGGAAGGTTTCACGCTAGCTCCTCATTTCGTTTTTGAACGAAATCAAATCGTTACCTGATTTGGTCGGTGTATCATTGCTGTATGATTTTTTAGGTTTTCCTTGTTTTTAGTTTCGTTGGCAAGTGAATAAAGCTCTGGATCATCGGATTGAAAATATTGACAGCCGAATTTGCGAGTTTAATGTGCTTCCAGTGCGGAAGTCTGTCGAAGCGGAACTCGACAAAAATCAAGGCGAGTAGATTTTTCAGAAAAAAATAGAGTGTATAGCAGAAAAAAAATGAAATATTTGTAACACCGTAGAAAAAAATCTATTGAATTTTTAAAAATTTGGATGTATTTTTGTTAATAAAATTTAATCTTCTGATCAAAAATGAGTAGTAAAATTTTTTTATATGTTTTTCGCTATGAATTTTCGCCCTTTCAAATCACAATGGTAAAAATTTTTTTGATTACTATACACTGCGCGTCATAGTTATAGACGCACCCCCATTTTTGCAGTTTTTCAAAAGATATGTTGAACTTTCTGCAATCAAACCTATTTTATAATAAACCTTAGCTAAAACAACTAACATTGGAAAGAGAACTACAAAAGACTCAGTACAAAAAGTTTTTAAAATTCGTCAAAATTAGTTTTTTTGACCGCGTCATAATTATAGACGCACCCTGGGTCAGGGCTCATTTTTTTACTTTTTGTTGGAACTTTCGCTTTTTCTTTTTATTTTTAAAAAAGACTAAAATTAGTAGGAGGCTACAGCATTTTAAGTAACTTTGAATCAAGCAATTTTATTTACAAACCATGCGAAAATCGAAAAAAATCGAAAATTACAGAAAAAAATGGTGTCTTCTGGAAATATCAGAGAGTTTATATCGGAGTTTGCGCATTTAATTTTTCAAATGACGTTGTTTTGAACAATAACTGAAGATTTCAAGAGGAAAAAAATGCTTCTGCGGTACGAAAAAAATATCTTTGAATCAGGTGTATTCACAGTTCATAGGACGACTAGCGTTATTTCAACCGACCTCTTCCTCGAATAAAAAAATTTTTGCCATGAGGTTTTTTTGGTAACGACAATGTCCTGAGGTTTACTCAAAAAGTTTAAAGCTAATTATCCTTATTGGTATCGGTTCATTCCGTGTTAATAGAAGAAAAATGAAACTTCTTATTTATGCAAATCGAGGACATTTTTTTGAAAATTCATTTTTTTGCCCTCACCATTTCTTTTTCTCCGTCAACAAAGTGTTAACTTTACTCGAAACTGGCGTGAATTTGATCATAGACTGTTTTTTTCCATACATTGGAAACATAAAAATAATGAGAGTTGATGGACCTCCAAACGAGCAAAGTTTTGCTCTTTTTTCTGTTTTGGAAATCGGTTCCGGAAAAGAAAACAGAACTTCCAGATGGTCGAAAAACATTCAAAATTTGCAAAATACTTTCTGTATGCTGTCGTCACCAAGAAACCTCATGTCAAAATCTTTATTCGAGAAATAGGTCGGTTGAAATAACGCCAGGTTTCCTATGAACAGTGAATCCACCTGATTCAAAGATATTTTTTTCGTACCGCAGAAGCATTTTTTTCCTCTTGAAATCTTCAGTTATTGTTCATTCGATTTTTCGATTTTTCGCATGGTTTGTAAATAAAATTGCTTGATTCAAAGTTACTTAAAAATGCTTTAGCCTCCTACTAATTTTAGTCTTTTTAAAAAAATAAAAAGAAAAGCGAAAGTTCCAACAAAAGTAAAAAAATGAGCCCTGACCCAGGGTGCGTCTATAATTATGACGCGGTCAAAAACTAATTTTGACGAATTTTTAAAAAAACTTTTTTTGTACTGAGTCTTTTGTAGTTCTCTTTCCAATGTTAGTTGTTTTTAGCTAAGGTTTATTATAAAATAGGTTTGATTGCAGAAAGTTCAACATATCTTTTGAAAAACTGCAAAAATGGGGGTGCGTCTATAACTATGACGCGCAGTGTATATGTATATATTTTTTTGAATTAAAGATGTAGTTTTTTTCATTGACCTTCATTAATGTAGT